TCACACAGGAAATAAAGATGAGGAGAAGGGTAACCGAGGAAGCCCTGAAATGGGGAGGTTCTTTCCATGTCATTTGTCTAGGCATGTAACACATTGAATGAATAAGGTATAGCAATGGTTGATTTTCTGTAAAAGAGACGATGGCGTACATTTTGGTGATTATTATTTGCTTAATAATTTAGTGATGGAATGAGGATGATGTGCAAGTGTTTGCTGTGGTCTGTGTCTGCGTTTTTAGAGAGTTGGCTCTTCTTCCAGGAGTGAATCTTAGATCTGCAGAGACAAATTGTCCCAGTTCTTCAGTAATTCTTCTCTCTGTAATTGTCAGTGTAATTGCCCTGAACAGAAGTTTGAGGTTGATGGAACAGCAGTAGTGTACTCTTAAAATGGAGAAGGATGCCTTTATGTAGTGATTGCAAGTGTTCTGCAAGTCTGTCTTGGTCACCGTGCTTCATTTACTGCCTTACTGCATTACTGGTGTGTTTCCATTCGGGAGGCTTGAGGTTTCTTTTTCATTGTATTGTACTTGTGGTAGTTACATCATAAGAGTTTTTGGAAAAAAACATTTGAATGATCAATAACTCATCAGTAGAGTACTTACTCTTTAAACATACTGGTTTCTTCTTGTCTTGTATCTGAAGCCCTCATTCTCCATCTCTACCTTTGCTTTGTAACGAGAAGCCATGCAATAGACAGATCTCTTATCTTTGGCTTCTGCATGTGTGTGATTGATTATTATACACTGCAGGGTTTTGAGATCTTAATCTTGTTCTGAGAAAGCTAAAATGTTAAACTAGCAAGTGAACTGATGATTTATTTGCCTACACTTTAGGCTAATTCTAGAACTTCATGTTAAATTTCTAGGGTGATCCTTAGGGAAATACTGCAGTGTACTGAGAGAAATGCTGTCCGTAGTCAAAATGAAGATGCAAGAAGGGAGCGCTAAAAGCAAGTCTTGTAGAAGAGACCAAAACAGAAGCGCATTGGTTGTTTGTTTTACCCTGGTCTTGTACTGTAATTAAATTGAGGTAATTAAATCACTGGAAAAGCGTGCTTCTCTCTTTCAAGATTTTCAGTGCATCTCTGACCTGGTCCTTTGTCTTTTCTGAGATCCTTCAGGAGTGTCTCATCCTATACCGGAATTCCATATGGCTTGGAAACACACACACACACGCTAAGGAATTACCTTCAGCCTATCTGCTGGAAATAGTGTGTTAGCATAATACGTGTTTATCAGAGTGATTTTTTTTTTCCTTTGGTTTTATTTCATTGAAGAAGAGTCTCCTACGTTTCATGGTAAAGCTCATATGTAAATCTGGCCTTCTGGAGCATTGCAATTCTGTAACTTCCTAATATCAGCTAGAATTCATATGCTGTGCATAAATTTCATGTATTGTCATAGTCCTGAGCTGTCTCAGGAAGATTTGTTCTCTTTCAGTACTTAGAAAATACTAGGACTTTTTCTTTTTTTTTTTACAGGGGGAAAATGCATAGTGCTATCTGCATGAAAGTAAAATGTGTTCTGTGATTTAGCAAGCTGCTGGTACTCTTTTGAGTCATTGACCTAGAAAGCAATGGAATTTAAATGGAGTCAGATTTTTTTTTATCCAACACAGGTCAAAGCAGAGGAGGTACTTTTTTCGCTTTGCAGAACTGAACAGTAACTTGAAATATGAGCAATGCTACATAATTCCTTGTAAAGTGTTGTGGAAACAAAAATCTAACTTTTTGGAACTTAATGCCATTTCTGAATAATATGGGCTGTCCTGGAGAAGTTTGAGTGTACAGATGAACTGCAAATTTTACTTTAAAATAGTTCTCCTTAAATGTGGATGCAGTGTGGTAGGATGTCCACAGTTTATTAAAGAGGTATAAATGGGAGAGGATGTAAATGAGCATAAACCCATAAATGACTAAGGAAGAAATGTGGGCTGGAATTTTTTTCTGTCTGAGGAGGTGTTAGGATACTGGAGAGTGAGTTTTTTAAATAACAGCATGTTGACTGGTCGTACCCTACATGAAATTGTCTGCACCAAGGATGCAGTAATTCTTTAACAGGCCTCCAAAGCTGAGGTGCTTGGAGTCCCCATGATCTGCCCTCTAAAGTGCAGTAATTGTTAAGATAAGGCATGGAAGGGCTGAGCCTTTAGCTTGATCTGAAGAGAGGTGGGGATTGCAAAAGCGGGTGTAATTAGGTCAGTATGTGCTGCCCTTTTTTCTGGTACTACCAGCTTAAGCACCTCCTCGTGCAACTGGTGTCAGCTCTCAGAGCTGGTTTGCTGGGGCTAAATAAAGGCTCGAGCCAGAACAGCTGAGGAGGTGGTGGTGAAACTCAGTGATGAGCAATGGGAAAGTGAAATGTTGGGTTAGTCTTTAAGCTGGTTGCTGCTGAAGTTTGTCAGTTTGCACTGAAAATTGGAAGAACAGATGCTGCTGCTTTCAGAGAAGGCACTGTATTACCTACCTGAGGTGTTAAAGGCATCTGGGGAATTGTACATGAACACTGAACCTAGTACATGGCACCTTTCATACTGTGTTAGATACCAATATGCTGCTATTAATACCACTTAATGGATACAAGTGTCTGTTTCAGGGCTTGTGCTTGTTTTTGGTTCAGGAGGATAACTTCTAACAACCTTACAAAAGTGGTGGAGAAATTAACCTTTGAGAAAGACCATGTCAACTGATGAAAACTAGTAGGGAAATAACATTTGGACGTGGTACAAGAAAAGGACCATTGCTGGGCTTGCTGGCCGGTTGCTGCACTAAAGACAAGACAGCATTTAGGAAGAAGGTTTCAGTTGAAGTCCGTGCACTTCTACCCAGACAACAGCTGATTATTAACATATTGCTGGTATTACTGATTTCTTCACTAGCTGCAAGAAGCAGAGTAGTTCAGTCCTGTTTATAAAGACTTCAAGACGTTTAAAGAGCATCACTTTTCTAAAATTTACATAATGAAATTCAGTAACGTGCATGTAAATGGACATCGATTTGATAGTATTAAATCTAATGTGTATTTCTTAGTCATTTATTTACTTTTTTTCCCCACTTTGAATTTTGTGACTCCATTGGTACTTTCTAAGTTTGGTGTTGCTGATGCTTTGTTGTACTCCCTTTCCTGCGGTAACTCTCTTGTATTTCTCTGTGCTATATTGTCTATTGGTTCTGCAGAAATCTGTTTACAAGGGGCAGTGATGAATAAAAAATTTCGAAGAGTAAGAGGCAGGTATTATGTATAGGAAAGAAAAGGGTGGGGAAAAGCAAATAACATGTTTGTTTCTCCTTGCCTGTGACTCACTTTTTCATAACAGAAGGATTTTCAAGTGGAGCAGAGCACTAATTGAAAACAAACAGGATGTAAAAATAATTACCTCTGCATGGAACCATGAGAGGGTTGAATACTTTCAGATTAGTAAATTAATGAGATAATTAATTTGATTGACTTTAAACTGTTATAAAAGCTATATGACTTATGTTTATATTAATATTTAATAATATATACAGACTACTATTTAAAGTGGGTGGGTCTGATTGTTAATACAATGAATGCAGGTGTTATTTCTTGATCTGTCCATAATTCATGTTTACCTTCACCTTTATAAGCATATGACTAATTGATTTTTCTTCTTTAAGACCAAAGGCGTATCTCTTAGAAAAAAGTCTTTCATGTATTGCTTTTCATGTTGCCATCTAGCTGAGCTTTCCAGTTTTGGCATTTGCCTTACCTGCTGTATTGAGTCCCAGCTTCTGGACGCGATGGCATTTAAGCTCTCAGGTTAGGGACGCTACTTTATGCCACTCAGGACAAGCACGTGTGTCATGTGCTTGCTGTTATTTCCAAGATGAGATTTGAAGAGTACCAGAGCTAGTCTGTCCATTTCAAGACCACATTTTCCTTCAATATTTTTGGGGTGCTATATTTATTACTTTTTTTTGTTTGTTTTGAGGAATATGATAATAGAGACAAATAAAAGCATGTTTGTTTGTTTTTTCCTCACAGAGTTCTAAAAAAAATAATAATAATAAAACAATGGGAATATCCTCATTTCTGAAGGCAACACTTGTCCCCCAGCCTTATACTTGTTTTGGGACATGGTGAGATTCCTTACAAGTGCAGGCAGTCAGGGACTTCTAGCATCCCATAAGGATCCTTTAACAACTGGCGTTGTCTTGAACTCCTGAATATGGCTCACGTAGCAGAGCTCCACCTGGCTGCTTAGTAACATTCCAGTCCCCTCTTTCATGCTGTCTGCTGAACAGGTCTTAGCCAGTGGCACCAGTCCTCTGCCAGGTGACTCACCTGCTCGGTAACCTCTCCTCAGATGCAGCAGTTCCTCTGACTAGAAGTCTTGTGTCATAAGCCATTTCAGATTCAGTAAGTGGCTATTAAAATTGAATTAATTCTACAAATGGATATTTGCAAAGGTACTTGATGATGCAGCAATCTTAAGATTAACATAATAGTGTGAACTAGTTTCCCTGAGAAGTGAAGGCATCCTCATTTTGTTTTCCTTAGTTTCACTGAAGTGTTATTACAGTTCCTGAATCCTGTCGTCTTCCAAATCTTTTCTTTTCACCCTCAATGCTAGTCTTCCCTCCAGCACTTTTGTGTCATGGAATGTTGCCATCATAAACTGTATGCAGTTAGAATTGTTGTGAGCTAACATAAATTCTTACATAAAAAGTGTTGCTAACAACATCTGATTCTTTCCATGCAGGCAGTAGGTTAAGTGTAGTTCATAGCAATTATTTGCATAATGTATGTGCTGGAATTCAACTGTATGTTAAACTAATAAAAATCAAATAAAAATATTTGTTGATAATGTAAAAGTGTTACCTCCTGAGGAGAACATCTTGATTTTAATCCATTAGTACTCTTCTACATTGGGTATCAAGCTATATTTTAAAGCAAATAAAATTTTACTGGAGCTCCAATTTCATCATACTTGTTTTGTTTTTTCTGTATAACTTACTACTCTTTTTGTTTCTTTTTACAGTTCTATCTTCAAGACACTAAAAGTAGTAATGGTACCTTTATTAATAGTCAGAGACTGAGTAGAGGATCTGAGGAGAGCCCACCATGTGAGATTATGTCAGGTGACATCATCCAGTTTGGTGTAGATGTGACAGAGAACACGCGGAAAGGTAAGGGTATGGATCTTTTTTTTTTTTTCCCCAACTATATTTATTGGAATATCTTGCTGCGGTGTAAACCTGGAGAGTAAATGGTATTCCTGTTGTAAGAAAGGAAACAGTTGTTTGTTTGTTTGTTTTGTTTTTTTTTTGGTTCCATTCCCTCTTTTGTGCTGGCAGTGAGTCTTGTGGCTGCAGGGTAAACTAGATCAAGAAACTGATTTGCTGAAAAAAACTGGCTCTGTCCCCCTCCTCCACCCTGACAACTAGATTTTCAACTGACTTGCTTCCCTAAACCACATGCTTGGGTGGCTGTATGAGTGCTGGTGTGTTTTTGAATGGGTAATGCAGATCCAGAAAAGGAGGATAGGTCACTAGGACCGTGCTTGCCTGTTGTCTCACTTCAATTGACTTAGAGCAATTTTAAAACTTCAGTGTGAGCATGTGTGCATGGGGCTGTATGCGTAGTTCTTTTGGGTTTGGTTTTGTCGCTACCTTTCTTTCAAGCATATGAACCCTAAAGTTCAGCTGATAATGCGGCGGAAGTATGAAGCTGAGTTTATTGATAAAGTGCTAAACAGGTACTAAACACAGTAATTTTATTCTTGTCGAGGTATCTAGGTACTTTTTTTCTATGACTGGTACTACTTCTGGTTCCTGCAGTTACTTAAAAATGAGGATAGAAAAAAATTGCTAGCTGAAAAATGAAGTGATGGGGTTTTGTTTGGTTTGGTTTTGTTCCTGTTCCCCTCCCAGTATTCACATTCAGGAGATCTCATATTATGACAAAAGCTACATGTCTTTGTAAATCAATTAAAAATGCAGCCTCAGTCTCTATTCTTCTGCATTCATGTACCGTGTCTCAGGAGCCATTTCTGTTTTTAAAGGCTGGTCTGTGTTTGAATTATTAGATAGTAATCAATAGATGGTAATAAATATCATCAAGACTTTTAAGATACATAATGGGTCTGCTACTTTCATGGGCATCAGTATTCTGGCCGTGTGTGGAAGGATCCTAATCCAGTAACTGATTTATCAATAAAACAGCAGAACTGTCATCGCTGCATTTCTACTTCACTACTTTATTGAACAAGACCTCCATAGGTGTTATCCATGCTTATCCTTAAAGGAAAGTATATTAAGAAAGGATGAACTGAAAGAATAATGTTAGATATTTTTTTTGCTGATGGTAAAATTTTTATTTAAAGCACACAGAAACACACACACAACAACAAAAAACATTGTACAGCAGCAGATTTTTTGAAGAGCATGAAGTGAACAAAGCAACTATTAAAGTTGTAAGTAAAGGTCATTAAAATGTTTGTTTACTCACAAATTATGTTATTGAAAATTTAACTCCTGGGTGTTTAGTTGGTATAATCTAGGAGTTACTTAAAATGTTACTTCATGTGACACAACTGCAAATATTTACAAACGCTAGTAGTAATCAGTGTATCAGTAGGTCAAAGGAATACTTTGCATCTCCAATGAACCTGGGACTGTCTATTTGATATGGTACTGTCCCCACTAAAAGGAATCAAATTTGTACATGTCTATTCAGACCTAAATCAATATTTATTTTATTTTAAGATTTAGTTGGAAGAAAAAAATAGTTCCTTTTTTTTTTTTATCAGCAATTATTTGCAATTCATTTACGTGAAAGTTTGTGGAAGTTTCACTGTAAGCAGTCACCTGAATGACAGCAGTAGTTCTTCCCAATGGCTTTGTGTTAGCTTTACAGGACACGATCCCTGTGACCAAGCTTCTGTGTCATGAGCGATCTGGTTTTGCCACCTTCCCTTTGCTTTGAACATAGGAACTATACTCCAGAACTGCTAATGAATGTGCTGAGCTGGCTAATGAGGAAGGTGTACAAGTTTGCTGTCTTGCTCTCCCTGCCTCCTCAAGCAATGAATGAAAATTGTATCATGCAGGGGCATGAAACAGCTGCATCACAGCTAAAGTGGTTACACATGAATGCAATTGGAATGCATATAAAAGCTTTTTTTTCCACCAATTCATTGCAGTAATCTCAGATGTTACTGTTAACCTAACCTAGTAACAAAACACAGACATGAAAGGAGTTTTTAAATTAGTGGTTCCCTTTAAAACCATTTTGCATTCTGATATAACACTTTACTTGCATAAAGCATCACAGCATTTTGCTGTATGCAATTACAAGGTTATGACTGGATAGGCAGAGTGTATTTGGCTAGGTAAATTTTGAATTGCGTAAATATTGCTGGAATATATTTATTTTTATTTTATTGTTCAGGCTGTGTTTTAGTAAGTCATTTCCTTGCAAATATGACCTTGGTTTGGATCGTTAAAATAGTGGCACGTTCCGTAAGTGACTTTTTTTCGGGCTGTCTTATGTAAGCACCGGTTCTTCCAAGTTCTGCTGCCGAGCTGAAGTCATTAACAGGCCTGAGAGAAATGTTTCCAGCCCTCCTGCTTCCTTATTCGTCCGCTCGTTGTTATTACGAGCGAGCACCCAGGCCTGCTCATTTCCCTATCCTTATTGCCATGTTTATCTATTAATCACCCTACTGTGCGTTTTTCCCTGTGTTGGTGTGCTTTGCTTTATTTTCTTTTAGCAGTTCCTAAATGTCCTGCTCCTTACCAGGACTCTCTAAGAGTTAACAGTACCCGCTTGGAAGGGAGCGAGGCTTTCCAGCGCCATCAGTAAGAACCTGAGGAGTCAGTTCAAATACAGTTTGTGCACTTTTTTTCTGGTCAGGTTTGGACCTTTCATCCCTCTTTTCCTTGGCATGGAGTTCGTAAAAGCCTGTGCAGGTGGGGCACCCGCTGCGTGCAGTGTCCCAGCTGCATGGAACTGGCCAGGTGAAGTACCAGAGGCAGCCTCTTAACACTTCTGGGGTCGCTGCCCTGACTGCTCTTTTCCCAGTAACACGTGAAAAACAAGAAAAGAGCATCATTTCCCAGTAGTCTGTCTATCCATGAAGCAAAAGTTTTGAGACAAAACAAAACTTAAGATAAGAACCCCTTTTGATGCCGCTTTGCAGTCGGCCCCGTCAGGTTTCCTGCAGGCAGCGAGTTTTCCCTTCTTTGCCCTTGGTCTCGCCGGCGCTCCCAGGCCCCGCTTCCCCCGGGGCCGTCAGCGCCGAGCCGCGGGCGGGCATCGCCCTCTGCTGCCTCCTCGCAGCCGCCGCGCCTCCGCGGCCGGGCCGGGTCCTGTCAGCGGGAACCGAGCTGGAAACCGAGCCGGGAACCGAGCCCGGAACCGAGCCGAGCCAGGCCGAGAACCGGGCCTGGCCGCAGGCCCCGCCGAGACCTCTTCACAACGCGTCCCTCAGCCCGGGAGGTGAGTACAGGTTAGCGGGCAGCCATAAGGGGCTGAGGGACCTGCTGTGGCTGGAGGGGCATTTCCCTGTCCTTTGGGCAACCACAGGTCTCTTTTTTAATTTATTATTGTTTATTCTGAAGGAAATAATAGATATTCTGAAGGAAATAATAGAGACAGGAGGGAAAGCAATTCCTACTAGCCTCTCCAGCTGCCACTATAACACTTAATATGTTGCTTTGCCTTTCCCTTAGGCTGTCTGATTTTTCTTCTGTTTACCCTTTAGCTGTCGGTTCATTATAGAGTAAGATTTTATTTTATTTCTTGTTTTATAAACCAAACAAAATGCTCCGTGCCTTTTCACTGTCACTATTTCAGTCACTATTAAGTCCCATATTTATTTATTTAACACCACAAAAGCTTTAGATTTTAGTATGTTTTTTTCAGTGTGAGCATTCAGGAAAAAACTTGAGAATTACATAATCTCACAGTGTGCTTATCTGTGCTTATCTGATACACGGTGCAGCGGTAAGGCTGTCTGTTACCTTTGATTTCACATACCCTCGTATTTTCTTACTGAAATCAGTAGTTTCCTTATGGTGCCTTAAAGGAAAGGAGCCTTCCATGTGAAAGCAGTGTGAGTACAACAAGCTACAGCTAATACAGCTAATATTCCTAATGTACCTTTATTTATTCTTATACCGTCTTCTCAAGAACAGATTTGTAAATTCTGTAGAAAAAAGGCCCCCAAACCCATGGATTAATCTGTTCCAAGAAAAAGGTCCTGTCCTTTGCTGGCATGTAAATTTAATGTTTCAACTTAAAGGCAAAGCAACTGAAGGTGCTGTAGCCAAAAGGATAAGTATTTAGCTTTTAGTACTGAATGCAGGTTAAGGAAGAACTCTTTAGGTGGATTGTCTCCTGTATTTTTAGATTCTATTCAGGTAGCTTCCTCAAAGACCTGTCTCTTTTCCCTGGAGTACTTCCGTTGTCCTAAAACACCCATTGTCCTTTTTTTTTCAAAGCCCGTTTAACTGTTTTGCTGATATTAATAACTACGAAAGTAGAGCAGCTGTGTCTTATATGTTGGTGGGATCTTTAGGTGTAGTGATAGAAGACCATATAGTTACTTGGATCCAGCTTGCTGGGGTGTTTAGCAAGTAGCTTCTATCCTCCTTTCTGTGAGATTGAGAAGATTTACTTCCCAAATCATAGAACTACACAAGGAAAAAAAAAAAAGCTGTGATTTAATTGTTTGCATTCTTATCGAAAATGATATCAGTATAATTTTTGGGAAATGAGGAGAGAGATTGATCCTGATGTTTGAAGAATATTTGAAGAATCTTGAGTATCCTGAATATTTGGAGAGTCAAATACTCTATTTCCTTCTCTTATTCTTCAGGATCTTTCGTCAGTTCAAAAGATCCTGAATTCAGTCCTGGAGAAGCAAACTTTCTGAATCTTTCTGAAATGAAAGGTCTCTTGACTAGGGCTGTGTATTTCAGATACATACTACAAGCATACAACAGTAGATACATATTGTCCTGAATGCTGCTGGTGCTCATAGTGCCCAAGAGGATGTTCCTGTACTCTCTGTTGTGCTCCCTTTTTGATCTCTGTGTTTTTAAATAGCGATTACTTGGCAAGTTCCAAATGCCAAATGAGTGTCAGGTGACATAAATTGTTCATGTTACCTCTGAAGTCTCTAGATACAGGAATTGTGTCAAAAAGCTATCTCATTATTATGTTTATACTTCTATATTCCTGTTAACTAACACAGGTAAGATGCATTCTTTTTTACCCTTGTTTTATGAACCAAATATAATGTTTTAACTCACTGCAGTGAAGAAATCTTGCAGGCATTGCTCATTTGGAATAATTGGAATTGGACCTGCTTCATAGGCCAGGACCAAGTACACAGCCTAAACTGGAATTTCTAATGGTAAAGTTTTCTGTCAACAGAGAAGGTCTGAGAAAGCAGAGCAAAGCACTGATGCTTGAAGGCATTTATGCCTTTTCTTGTTCACCTGCCTTGGAGTTTCTTAAGACAGTTCACTTCGTTCTACTATATCATTAAGCATTGAACTTATAATTAAATAGTAATGGATCATGATGATGTACTATTTGTTTCTTTTCAGTTACCCATGGATGTATAGTCTCCACAATCAAACTTTTTCTTCCAGATGGAATGGAAGCTCGATTGCGATCAGAGTAAGTATAACTATCTGTGTATGGCAAAAAATAAATTTCTGTATTTTGAAGATTTGATGGGTATTATATTTAAAATCAACATATGAACATTTTTGTGTGTTCAAGCAAAGAAAGTAACTGAGAACATGGTTCTTCTGCAGGCATTGTGAAAAAATAAATCTTAATTTGATTGTCAGTTGTAAAAATCAATGCAACTATGAAAGAATAACTAAGTTCTTACCAAGTTTGACTTCTCTGTTTGGATGTGATTCTTAGTATACTGAAATGGTATTAAAAACAGAATAACACAAGAAAAGAGAAAGCAAATGAAGCATACCCCTGTTTTACAATTTGAGAATGTGCATTTATATTAACAAAAATAACAAAGTCTACCAAAGTGAAGCAAGTATCATCTCTGTCTGTACATGTGTACACATAACACTGTTTATATTCTTCAGATAAGTAATAGAATAATGTTTCCTCATGGTGTAGTTACTCAGTGTTACAATGAAGGAAAATTTTGTCTGAGTTGGAGGGGAAGGAATTATAAAATATATTGGATGAAAGAGTATTCGCAAACTAAGATGAATACCAAGAGGCTTTTCTGTGAATATGTGCATATATTGGAGAAAACTTCAAAGAGCGGTAGAAACAACAATAACAAAAAAGTAAACATTTGCAGTAACTGAGTGACAATTACAAATGACGTAATTTTAATCAGCTTTCATCCTCAGCAACTGTATGCCTTTGATTATTTAAATATTCCTACATCATTAGGATTCAGAGATATTTAGGGTATTTGTTTCTTGGAAGGCTAAAGTTATTGTTAAAGTTATTATTATGGAAAATTTTCAGTGTAATTGCATGTGCTAAGAAATAACTAGAAATGTGTAGTATTACATTTTTTTCTAATGAAAACGTGCAAGTGAAAGTGTACAGAATTATGTAAATCATTTAATATACTCTGAATTTGTGATCAAGAGTACGATATTGTCTCTCTTTCCATAAGCGTTGTTCTGTGCATGCAAATTGTTTAAAGCCTTAGTAAGTTGGTTTTAGAAACATCAAATATGTAACTACTGGATAAGAAGTCGGTAGAGTGTTTTTAGAACATACTTCAGATTTATAATTTGAAAATAGTTCTGTAAATTCAAAAATGTCACTTAGTGTAGTACCGTTTTTTCATTATTGTTATAAACTCTTCATTTTTACCCCCAAGAAAAAGCTTTAGTACAAAGTACCGTGATTAAATGCACAGTAATAGTGATCTCATGGATTTTGAACTACTGTCCTGTACTTTGCATTTACTTTTTTTTCTTTTACAGTGTTATCCATGCTCCATTACCAAGTCCTGTTGACAAGGTAATTCATTAACTTGCTGTCGAAAAGCTATTAATAGGTATAACTTGCCTGGGACAAGTGATTGTCAGTCTAGCCTATAAAAAATTGGATTACCTTAAGCAGGTTCAAATCAAAGTTTTTAACATGCAGAACAAAATTTTGAGAAACTAAGGAAACTTAATTGTGAAGTCAGCAGCCTGAAGAGTTCATAGACTTTGCATTTAAGGTGAATCTGGGGTGGGAGGGCAGAAATTCTGAAGAGGGGACTGTAGGTATAACCGTGTGGAAAAACAGTTTCAGAATGATGTCAGTGTAGAGAGCCTGCAAGTAAAGCAACAGCAACAATGCACCACATCACCTCCTTAGCCCTAAATCCAGAATAGTTTCTGGGGCTGGAGAAAGTATGGAGTTAAAGTAAGACTTGACAAAAAGCAGGCTTCTAAAGCCTTGCTGAGGTGGTGGCACTGAACAGTGAAACTTTATTTAATTGGATCAAGTAAGGTTATGGTGCTAATATGCAGCACGGATGATTATGCTAAAGATAATATAGGTATTCACCAAATCTGAAACACATACTTCTATGGTGAATGATGAAGATGATAAAGTTAGGTCAACTAAAAATGTATGATGAAGTCTGAATGGAGAGGATGAGATGCATTGAATTTGAACATGAAACTAGTTTCTCATTTCTGGAACGCCCCTGATTTGTATTTAGAGATTAAGCTCTTTGGGGCTTTGGTGATCGAAAAACTTGTAAAGGTGTTAGCATAGTGGGGTCTCAGTCCAGAGTTGTGAAGTTCCATGTTAAAGCAAAGAAAAATAGTAGTAGAACAATAAATAAATGAAAACACTATTAGTTATATAGTCTGAAGTTTATCTTCACGACTAGATTTAAATTACGAACTTTGCATTATTTGTGTCTGGTGAAAAATCCAAAAACATTTTGATTCATAAATTCTCTTATTCCTCAGGTTGCTGCTAACACTCCCAGTATGTATTCTCAGGAATTGTTTCAGCTTTCACAGTATCTACAGGTAATGTTTTTCATCACAGTATTACTTTGGCTAAATATTTAATCTCTCTTCAAAAAAAGAGAGATTATGGTCCATATATCTTTGTTTGGCTTGCAGTTTGTAAACAGGAACATGATAAGCATTTAACTACCTTTTTCTATAGTGAAAAAGTGTAAAAATTGTTGTAATTTAACATAGTATAGTTCTATGTAAACTTCTGGAATTATTCATGAGCAGTATGAACTATGACTTTTCCTGGCATTTCTCCTCTCCTCCCTATCTGCCCCCAATATTCTTTTGCACCTGGCATTTTTAGCATCATGTATTGCTGCAGATGTACTGTGTAATACAAAAGAATGGCAAAACAAGGTGTCACTTGGCTTATCAAGGTCTAGTTTCTGTGAATATAACTTCTTAGTGTGACTATCTCTGTCTCTGAATTAATTGGAAATAACTAAGGAGGGGACAGTGCCAGCAGTTCTTTTTCCTTATTCACACCACCAACCTTTCTGTGTTTGTCCCTGTGTCAGTTTTTATGGGTGTGTTTTTTCCCAAAGGTATCATATCACAAAAGTGTTAGATTGCAAAATGGCAACACTGAAAGTGTGTGTTAACATATGTAGATAAACGCTTCAGAAATTATAGTAAGATTAGCTTTCTGGAAAATAAATTAAATGTTCTTACGGGTAAATTCTACGTAGCTTTGTGTGTTATCCTACTGATTTATTTTTATCTGTATTTTGTTTGCTAATGGCAATTACTCAAAACAATGATGAGGTTTTTGAGACAGGTATTAACTTTATATGTATTTGTTAACACAGCAGGAAGCAGCTCAGGCATATGCTCTTTCTTGAGAGGGCAAATACAGATTTGCTCACCAGTCTGTTCACTCTTGTATCCTGGAATTGTTAACAAAGATGCTTTTTTTTTTCTCACGTTTTCAAAACAAATACAAACAAAAATCACTTCTTGCTTGGCGTTTATCTTTTGTGACCTGACTTAAGGACTAACAGCTAATTGCATGGGAGCTACCAAAACTGTCTTTAGGTCATTACACCAATTCTGTTGCTTAAATTACTGCCAAAAGTCCAAGTGGGTATACGGTTTCAAGTCTTGGAATGAATAACTTGTTACTATGTGTACTTGGCATGTGCAACATGTACATGAAAATTTAAGCTTTTTAGGAACCTGAGATTATAGGATAACGTTTTCTAATTGAAATATCCAAATAAAAATGTGGATGGATAAAATAGGATGTGACAGCGTTTGCTGCTCACATTTCCTTTTTTCTTTCAGTCTAACAGTATTAGGTATTTCTTCTGTTCCTTCTGTTTTTCTGAGTTGTTCTAACTGAACTGACCAGTTGGCGCTCTGCTCTCATCATAGGAAGCCTTACATCGGGAACAAATGTTGGAACAGAAGCTGGCAACCCTTCAGCGACTACTTGCTGTCACGCAAGAGGCTTCAGATACTAGTTGGCAGGTACTGGCAGCCATCCTTTCCCTACTTAGACTGAAAAAATAGTGATATATAAATTGTATCTATTATTTTACAAATGGGGGGGGGTGGGGGGGGAGGACACAACTAAGAATAAAAAGCATGCAGTGGTTCTCTTAAACTGTGAAAAAGACAATTTTTACTAAGTCTAACAATTACGTACAGGTTTGAAATAACTGTTAATGGTAAATAGTCCAATAAAACGAAAATAAAGCAGTTGTGTACTGGAACTACTTGGAGCACAATATTCTATTGAAATGGTTTATTTGTTTTGCCACATCTAATATTAATGCAAAGAATGAAACGTCTCTTCTAGGCTTTAATAGATGAAGACAGGCTGCTATCAAGATTAGAGGTTATGGGAAATCAGCTACAAGCATGTTCAAAAGTAAGTAATTAATTTAGTAGAGCTCTATGCTAGGAATACTGAAATATTGCTCTTCTGAAGTATTTTGAAATGAGACACTTAGGAAAGCAGTTGGATTGTGAACTTTCTGAGATGAGGCTACGCAGTTTTGATAATCTGAATATCATGAAAATTATAGGTTCGTTCTGTATTTCGTGGAATCATTTTAAATTAAATAAATGGCTATCACTCAGCATCTTTTTAGCACAAACTGATTTCTTTTTTTTTTTGTATATGCATATAAACGTGTATAGTGAAATGCAGAAAAGGAATTTGTCATAAGTGAGAAGCAACCATTCTGTCAGCCCTGTTTACTGTGGATATTTCTTTTCAAGTAGGAATTTCGAAAAAGGCATTAGAGGTGTGCTGTTTCATATTCAGAGACAAAGTAACAAGTATGCCATGCCTTGCATATAACATGCAAGGCCACTATTATGCCTAAATTATTTGTTTTTTTCTTATTCGCATCTACCTAGGTTATAATAACTTTTTTTGCAGGTCCTGTTTGAGGTCTTTCAAATTGGGACCTCAGATGGTTCTGGCTTATCATACCGTAGGTCTCCTAGGTTTGACATTGATTATAGGAAAACTATACCTTTTTTGAACACAAGACAAAGCTCATTATAGAATGTGTACCATCATCATACATACAGGTGGTTTACGCACAGTTATGTCAAGAATCCTTGATCACTGATCTGCCTGTAACATTTTTCTCATTTGCCAGCAATTGCTAAATATTCTGGAATAGAACAGGTCTTATCACAATCTAATGTATTCCACAAAATATTAATTTATATTTTACCTTTGTATTTGATTTGTACATACAGAATCAAACAGAAGACAGTATACGAAAAGAGCTTATAGCATTACAAGAAGACAAACACAACTATGAGACAACAGCCAAAGAGTCCCTGAGGCGGGTCCTACAGGAGAAAATTGAAGTAGTCAGAAAACTGTCTGAAGTGGAGGTATTCTAGTTTCATAACCAGTCTTCTGGAAATACTGAAATACTTGTAACAGCTGCTGCTTAAATCCATGTTTGTTGCCTGTAGCAGGCCACTATCTGTTGTATTGTAGCATGTGCAGTATATTAAATATCATTGTTTATTATATGCTAATCTAGTACTTACGTTGTTAAAGAAATTGAGAAATTAGCCTTGAAACTCTTTGCTCACAATTTAGAATGGATAAAGTAGTCTTATAGAAGTTAGTATGACTGGGAAAGAAGCACAGCTTAAAATGACACGTGCTTTAGAAAAACTGCTGTTAGACATTGTTTAAACCCTAAAATTTAGGGAAATATAAGCTGAACTGCTCATACAAATTACACTTAAGAATGAGCTGTTAAGATGATGATGTGTTAGACACTTTGTTTAAGGTTCTGCGCCTATTATATCTCTCACTATTGCCTTCCCCAACTCTCTTTCCGTTATCCTTATTTGCTATGATCCGTTAGGTTATGAAATATCCTAGACATGCTTATTATATTCATGAAGTGTGCATCCATTTCATACTTTTTAGGGAATACAACAGATTTAGTGCTGTAATAAATAATCTTAAGAGACTTCAGTTAAATACACCTTTGTATATTTTAATAGTTCTTGACAGGTTTGTTAATGGTCAGAGTTTCATGTTTACTTCTAGCTTTCTCCTACTTTCCAATCATGTATTTCAGCTCTTTATTCTTATCAGTCACAATTAAATTTATAGCCTTTTTTTTTTTTTTTTTTTTTCACGTGCATGAAGCTAATATCTTTTAACTTAATCTACTGGTAATATTCTATAACAGAACAGAATATTACCAAGGTTTATACAGGTGGCATTTTTGGTGGACTTGATTTGTTGTGTTTAGCCTTAATAATTAGGAACAAAACAGTTTGAAAGCAAGCATGACTTGTTGCATATATTGTTCCTGGAAAAAAATAATAATGGAATGTTTTGTATTTTATTAGTAACAAATTTTGTATTTATTGTAATTCTATCTTACAGCGGAGTTTAAGTAATACAGAAGATGAATGTACTCATCTTAAAGAAATGAATGAGCGGACTCAGGAAGAATTAAGAGAATTAGCTAATAAGTACAATGGAGCTGTAAATGAAATTAAAGATCTTTCTGACAAGCTAAAGGTAATGACAACCTTATCTGACTTACAGTGGAACTGTAATGCATGAAAGAAATTTTAATTCCTAATGCAGCAATCAAGCAAAGATTAAGAAACTATTAAAATGATAAGTAAATGAAAGAAAGATGCACATTAATGTTTACATATTCTTTTGGTTTACATTTAATGTGCCTGAAAGTGTCATCGGTTAAATTACTGTAAAGGTTCCCTTTCCATTCACTTTAAAAGTTAACATATTTTTGAAGCTGTAGTATGTTTTTAATATAAAACTACGTAATAATGAAATTTCATATTCAGTTGTTTTATATACAACTTTCAACCTTAAAAAAAAAACTCAACTTAGTTAATGGGAATGAAAGCTATATCTAGAAATAAATTTGAATTTCGCATTGCCTTATTGTGCAGTTTCAAGCACAGATGGCCCACGACAGTAAAATTATGTCTCAGCTTCTAGGTGGAAAGGAGCACAATGTCATGTTTATTCAACTAAACTCCGAAGTGTATTAATATTTAAAGGTCCTTTATGCTGGAGAAAAAACTAACGACAGTGTGATAAAGCCTGTACCCAAAGAGACTCCTGTCTAGATTGACAGGATTGAGGAAGGTAGCGTTCTTTTTTTTAGCCCTGAGACAGTTGTAGTTGTCCTGGATAAATACCGGAATTTTAACTTAAGTTCTTTGAGTCTCAGCTTAGCATTTCAGATGGAAATTTCTTCTTTCCAAATTAAAATATTAAGTTGTTGGTCTTAAGGCCCATGGTTTCTCAATTTTGAATTAATCATTGATGATGATGAGTGTACACAAAAGGATCAAAACCAAAACTTATTACTTAGCTTCGCAGGGAGGGAAATCTATGAAACTTACAATGAGGTCCAGCAAGTGAGAAGCTGTGGCTTTCAATCAACTTGATCTGTGCAATGTATGTTCAATTCAGAAGGCCCTCTGGGTTTTGACTGGTAATTTGAGATGGGAGACTTCAGGTATTTCTTCGTTCTTGGGCCCTGGTTCTGTTCTGCAGAACTCAGGTGGTTCAGACAAAAATTTAGTTGAAATGGTTTGAGATTTGTTCTCTCTGTTATTGTGCCTAAATTGAAGCATATAGAAAAATAAGAGTAGAAAAAATTTGTGTTTTTCATGTTTTCTTCATCTGACTACCAAAGAAAGTTACTTTAGCGCATTTAGTCATAAAAACATCAAGGAAATCTACTCCTTTAGATGTTAATTCTAATTTCTTTGGGGATTTTTCTTTTCTTTTGAGCAGGTAGCAGAAGGAAAACAAGAAGAAATCCAACAGAAAGGATTGGCTGAGAAAAAAGAACTGCAGCATAAAATAGATGAAATGGAAGAGAGAGAGCAAGAGCTTCAAGCAAAAATAGAGGCTTTGCAGGCCGATAATGACTTCACCAATGAGCGGCTAACTGCTTTACAAGGTTAGTCACTAGTGGGGAAAATTATTTTTTTTTGTTTTTTCTTTTAATCTGTGAAATATCTTTTTCTTGGAATTCTGTTTACAGTACGGTTAGAACACCTTCAAGAGAAAACTCTTAAAGAACACAACAGCTTAGGTAGGTGTGATCAGTTTCTTGTTTAAAGCTGGTTTCCAGACTATATCTGTTCAATTCCTTTTATTGTAATAATCACGTTGTCTCGGTTTCTGGCAATAGAGTAATGTATTTACAAGTTTGTCAGTATTGGATTCTTCTCTGCACAGATTAATATCGAAATATATGTGACCACAACAGAGTGCCAGCAGAGGGCACTGCTGTTGTGAGTGTTCAGACCTAGGGTTCGTTGCTCAATCAGAGAGCTTTTTGCCTCCCTGTCTCTTAATCCCCCCAAATATTTTGTTGTTGTTGTTTTTGTTTTATTTTGCTTAAATTGTTTATATATATATATATATATATATATATAATATACACATATATGTAATGGACAGTAATTCTTTGGATGATAGCAACATCTTACACGTTTGAACAATTGGAAGCATGATCCGTACTGCTGGAAAATGCGTTACCTTTTATCTGTTTTGTTTGATTAGATTAGATAATTGGAAGAAATAACGTGAAAAGCCATTTGCATTTCACAGTGCTGTATTTATAAACAAAACCAAAACATTTTGCTTGGTTCTAGAAATAATACCCTTTCTTAATCCTAGGCATACAAGTCGATGACTTCATACCTAAAATTAATGGGAGCACAGAAAAAGGTAGTGTATCTCAAGGCTACCTTTTGTCTTATGGTTGATGTTTGAACAAATTCTTTTTGTTCTGTGAAGTCTTACTTTTGAATAATATTCTCTTTAAAAAATGAAACAGCAGTTGACCACTCTTCTGACCAGCAGTTTTTTTGCTTAGGCTCTCAGTCCAGGGAGGTTGTTTTGTTTTAGCAAATTCTGTAAATTCAAAGGAGCCAAATGTGGAAGTTGTCTTTTTTTTTTTTTTTTTTTTTTTTTTTTTTTTCTGTTGGAGTCTCACTGGAATCAATGGGAATCCAGTGAAGTGTTGTCAGACCTGTGACACAAAGTGGAAAACCTTCATTAAACGTTTTCCCCTTTGTTTTCCCTTGCAATACAGACACAAACAATTTTTCTATTAAATTGGGTATGGTAAGTAAAGTCAGCAAATTATTTTTTTTGCTGTCTATAATGTATGAAAAATGCAAGCATATGACACACCAATAGCAGAAGCTATCTTTAAAACTTGAGTATCTATTTACAAAACAGGAGTTAATGTAGATTAACTATTTTTTAAGACAAAATTAGTCTATGCTAGGTTTTTTAACCAATACATCTTAACAGACATTTGAGAGACAAGACACTTGAGGATTTTAGAATAAAATGGTCTGACTAAATGTTTGCCTGATTTCATATATAAAAAGATTATTCCAGTTGTGATTCTAAATTCGCTAAATTGTTCCATTAACTAAGATAAACTTGTTGTCATGTGTTCATTTAAAATTATCCCTTGATACTGCTTTCTTGATCATTTGCTGCGTTTTCCTGGATAGTGAAAGCTCTGAGGAAGCCTGGTGGCAATAGTTGGATGAGAACTTGTGGTTCCAGCTAATATTTATGCTGTTTAAGTGTTTGGAAACAAAATTTAAAAGCTGTCTATGCTCTAATTTTTAGCTTTTTATCTAATTTCTTTGTACTATAAATGAAGAGCTTCTTAATTAGGGAGAATAATAGCAAAATAAAAGCAGTTAATAATGGCATAACTTCATGTCTTTTACTTATTTGGAGCAGGAGGAGAGAAACATTACACACTGACAGGAACTGTGTAAAAAAACTCCTTTATCTAAGTGCTAGTTATCCCTTTGCCTTAGCTTCAATCCATCTTTTCTACGAGTTTCCATAAGTTTCAATTGGTAATCCTCCTCATGCTTGATGGGTAGAATGGTTAAGAAATAAACTTGCCTTTATTTTTATTTTTAAAATTTTCCACCCTAGAAAATAGTTAACTTCTCTACAGTGCAAAACTGAAATACTGTATAAAAATCACCATTCTTTACTCTAAACATAGAAACTGTAAGACTTCAGTAAGTTAGGTTGTTGGAGGTTTTTAGAAAATTGTATAAAACAGTGAAAAAAAATTGCCTAGTACTGAATTAAAACATATACTAAAAGCTTTCAAGCTATGAGCTCAAATATATTTTGTTTTACAGGGAAATAACTTGCAACATCATAGTAAATGTAGAATAAATGCCTGTTTTTTTTTGACGAACACTTGCTTTACATTTGTGCACAGGAATACCACATCTTCTTAAATACTGACACCTCTTTATTCGTCAAAATTGATAAGTTGTCTGAAATATGATGTCAAAAACAAATTCATTATTATGCAATTATAGCAATTAAATACCAATGTTCCTTTGCTATTCACTCACTTTTTTTCTCAAAGTTTAAGAAGCAATCCCCCTTTTGATTTATTTTGGATCACGTAACAGTCAAAATGTCACGTGGGTGAATGCACAGAAATACATATTCCTTCTTCCCATGTGTAACAATAGGACAGGCACTTATGCTTAAACCTGGGAGTTTTAGAAAACTGTCTGCCAGGTTTTTTATTTTCATTTTTTGACTATAGACACTGTAGAACTTCCCATTCAAGTTGTCTTTGTACATGTTTACGAAATCAGTTGCCTTTTTCTCTCATGCGTCTAACGTTATTTTATTCTGTTTTCGCTTAGCTTTCCATATTTTCTGTTGTACCACATTCTTCTGCACATTTCGGCTATACCAAGTCCATTGACATTTCTCTGACTCTTTAGAGCTTGATGTCTTGTGTTCTCTTTGTGACAGACTGTGCCTTTCTCTGTTCTCCTGTCCTTTATCCAGCTCTCATATAATGACAGATGGGCAGTAATTTTTTTTTTCTGCCAGATTTTGGATTTTGCCCTCTTGAAATCAGCAGGGAACAGTTACTGTGTTTTGCTGAGTAGGCTCGCATTATTTTAGAAGAACTGAGAATTCAAGGGTTGTAATGTAGATTCAACTGTTCCTGCAGTGAAAGAGGTTGTGGATATTTTGCATAAAAGACGCATAGATAAAGGTAGAAATTAGAAATTCTAGAACTGGATTTGTACTACATAGTATAGCCTGTAAGAGAGAAAAAAGTTTCCCTCCATCTGTTTATCATTACAGTATTACACTCTTCCATCGTTAAATATTCTACACAACTAAAACTCTGAGACAAGATTTTTCTCTTAAATATTTTTTGATGTGCTGCATATGACCCCTCCCCCCAATTTATTTATTTATTTAAAGAGGAAAAAGGAAAATTCTACAAACTTCGTATGTTTTTTCATGTTCCTTTTGTCTCTTTGTCTCTCAAAACTTCAGGTCAAGTCCTTAAGGTATATTCCTAGACATAATACTTAAACTGTTGCAAGAACAAGGATTTTACATGACTTTTTAATGTTATGGACAGCCACAGAAGTAGAGGAACAAAGAGCTCTTCTAATAGTGTCTCTAGAGTCATTTTATAGCTAAGTGTTTTAAAGTGCTGATGGTTAGGCATTCATTTTCTCTCAATGCACATATGGAAATTCTGGTGCAAAAGGGAGTAACTTATATCGAGCCACTGACAAACGTGTAGAACTGAGTTATTTCAGTAACTTGTATTTTTCTCAGTGGCTTTCAGATTTAAGTTTTTTTGAGCCATTGATTATATAAAGAAAAGATACTAAAGACTTGTGTACAGTCATTTAAAAGAGGATCATGTACAAAAGCTTAAAAAAAAAAAAAGGGAAAACAGATGTTATAGCCATGGTGGCCGTGGTGCTGTCTTTTAAAACCCTTGTCCTTGTGGGTTAGAAAAGTAAAACTACTATATTTGAAAGTAACTTTAAAAAGTAAAAGGTGCATATTATGTCCTTCCTCATAACAGCTAGACTGCTGATATCAGAAGCTAATGATGGAGCAAATTTGTTGAAATATAACCAATTTTGCTGGTTTGTGTACAAAAAAGCAGCCTTTTCTGTTGAGATTGTTAGACTCTTGAGGTCAAAGGATTTTAAGGTTCTTCAGAATGCAAATGCTAACACTGTTTTAAGAGATGAAAGGTTCTGATGGAACTGGGAGCTGAACAAGGTCTCATAAAAGACTTAGATAAACCTGGGAGTTGAGCCCAGTTTTTAGATCTTTACTGCAGAATGTCCTCCTTTCAAAAATCAACTGTTTCAGTGCAGTGAACCTTTTTTAAAAAGAGTAAAGGAAGATATTTACACTTGTAAAATAAATATTGTTGCATTTCAAGAGGGTATGCCATATGAAGAATAAACATGAAGATGAAAAAAAAAATAATTAAATACCCTTTTAAAACTAAGAACAAAATGCTGAAGACTGTAGGTTAAATACACGCTCCCTATTTCTTCAGCAATTGGGTTTGGTATTTGCCGATATTCATGTCTCATTCTGAATTAACAAATAGAAATTGATGACAGCACTATGGAGTTGCGTGTTTCAATAACGTATCATCTTATGTATTCTAAATTTATTGTCATTAGAATATCACTTGTGTGTTGATCTTTTTGCCAGAGGTCTGAAGTTTTAAATGGGAATTCAGTGGAATTCATTTGTCACCACCTAACCTGAAAATGTAATACTGAAAATGCCAAATGCAGACTGTTTGGAATTTTCTAACTTGTTCCTACTAAATTTGGTAAATAAAGTGTGTTTTTTTAAATAGCTTCTACTGAGGTAAGGGACTTCTCATGCTTAAGAACTGCTCTTAGGCTTTAGGATTTGAAGGTACCCTTTTGAAGCTGATCAGACAGAGTAATCTCTTTCTAGTATCACCCAATCAGACGTTATTTCAAATACGTATTGTCTACTTGCATCTAACCCAGACCTCAAAAGTTCACAATGACAAATATTGTTAATATACCTTTCAAATTTTTGTTGCATCAACCTGAAAATGGTAAGAAGATGTAAACTTCAGTGTTTCTTTCTTTACTAGAGCACTTTCTTTCAAAGAGTGGAGGGGACTGCACTTTTATTCATCAATTCATAGAATGTCAGAGTGAGTACAAGAGTGTTCGTCACATTTGCTTTAAAAACAACACAAAACTCAGAAAAGGTGGATAAAACCCAGAATTTGTCACTTCTGTTCATTATTTTGGTAGTAGCAGAAACTTGTTAAGCATAGAACTGTGGCATTGTGGTATTAAACAGATGCCTGTAGTAGGAAGAGGATATCGTTGCTCTTGGAAAGTAATGATCGAATTGTCTTTTCTTAGCAGTTAATCCATTATTTTCCTCTGACCAGTAAAAGGGTGGTAGTGTTGCCACTTGACACTTAAAAGTGAGTGTAATTTTTCATCTGTGTTACAAATTAAGAAGTTGAAAGCCTACAAATGTCAGTTTAAGCAAACATGACAGGCTGCTGTGGGACAGAGATGAGGTAATGATGCCTTTTCTCCATTTCACTTCTTTTTTACATATTTTTATTTTTTTATTTTACGTATTTTTCTAATTATCTGTTACAAAGAACAAAAAGGGAAACAAGGTTTAAATTTCTATGTGGAAATATAAGAGATTCTTTTAATAAAAATAGCATAAATACGCAATACCAATCTTTGGAAAGATGTAATATTCTGGAATGAGCAACTTGTTTTTCAAAGCAAATGGGTTTTGAAATTGAGTGATGAAGCAGCAGAATCTGCATATGTGTAATTAACGAAAAGGGTGTATTAACACTTAAGGTGTTAATACTTGTTGTCCAATTAGGAAAAAGAGAAGAGTGCTATTAAACTTCAAAGAAAGGTCCTTGGTAGCATAAGGAATTATTTTTCCCCTAATACATAATTTCTGTTAACTCTTTAAGGTAAACAGAAATAAGATGGTCTTTTTTTGACATTTATACCTGTTAGGCTCCCTCCCCTTTGTATTTTAGTAGGGAAACATAACAGACTTGTTTGACTTTACTGCTTGTGATACCGATTGCAGTGCTATAAACTGAATGACAGGTTACTACTAGTTTATCAAAGAAAACTTAAATTGTATTAAATTGAAAAATCCTTATTTTTAAAAGTGTATGAGTGGTAGCTGTCTCCTGGAGAGTTGATGTTTAAAATAATTTTAAATTTCACAAAGAATCCAGTTCATTTATTACATAATCTGAAGTTGATTTTTTTTTTTTTTTTGGTCTGGATTGAAAAAACGGGCATGCTGAGTCATGTTCAAATAAAACTTGGTTGACTGTTTTCATTGTTTGGGCATTAGCTTAACCTACTTTAGCAAAACTTAAATTAGTACCAAGTCTGCAAAGGAAATGTGGCCAGTCTTGTCACTATTGAGAAGCAGAAGCAACCATCAGGATCTAATGAAAGATTTTAACATGCAATTTAAAGTAGTAACAATAAAATAAAGGTCGATTTATATATGTCTCCCCTTTCTTAAGGGGTTTGAAAGCTAGAGTAGAGAAACTGTAAGGCTTTGGTGGACTCAGCAGAATGGATATGAGCTTCAAGGGTTCAATGTTCTGCATTTTTCGTTAGTGTGTTTTTACTATCAACTAAGAAAAGATTCCAAGTCTGTTTAATTCTGTATGTAAAAGCTGTTCTTTTAGTCCTGCTCCTGTGTTTTACTCTCTGCAGCAGTGAAGGTTGGGAGGTAGTGGGGGTCACCAGGAACGAGGCTTTAAGACGTTCAGCAAATACTGAAGTTTAGAACGATATGACAAAGACTGGCAGGATTGAGAAAGGGCAGCCTGTCATACTATACTACGCTTCTCCTCCCTCCCCCCCCGGTTTTCTTTGGGAAAGGAGCAGGTGTATTATAAAAATAAAATGAAATCCTGGAAATGCATGTCACATCTTTAAGTAGTCTTTGTAGGGTTTGCTGTTGCATAATAGAAGCAGATGCATTAAAACTATAATCTGCAAGAAATCTAAAAAGAAAGGAGAAGCAAAACAGCTGTGATACAGTTTGAGAAGAGAAGGTTTTGACTTCTGCTGGTAGGAAGAGGAAAGTGTGCATATTGCTAGTTCTGGGGAAGAAGCAGGGAAGAAATCAGGAAAGCTTCAGCAGGGAAGTGAAGAAAAATGCAAGAAGAAAGAGTCAAGGAAATGTGTGTAAAGTAGCATGAGAAAGAGAATTTGATGATTAAGTTGTTTAATATTCTGTATAAACAGTTGCAATGAGGTTAAAGGCAATTAAAAGTACTTATACGTTAACATCAATCCAGACTCCTCAAGATAGATTTTTTTAATATTTTTTTTTTGTAGGGATGAAACAATAGGACTCTTAAAATCTCAATTGCAATACAGCATGGATGCTTAACATATGTAGCATTGTTTGTAAAACCTGACTTTAGTGTTTTGGTTTTGTTTTGTTTTTCCAAACAGTAGGGCTCACAACATCATCCAGTAACTCTTGATCTACAGCAGCTATAAAATGTTATGAAATCTTGCTCTGAATGATCTGAGAAGTATGCCGTTTTCTGATCATTACATCCAGTTCACCTAATGCTCATTTCATAACTTTTTTTTCGGTTACTACTGGTGAAATCCAGTACAATCGATAGCAAAAAAACACGTTCTTCTTCCTCTTAATTAGTACTGGGTATGAGTTATTGCCAAATGTGATGATTAATAGACAAAAGAGATGTTTAGTGCCCTGTCAGCTTCCTATCTTTTGTTCCAATTTAGCTGTTCCTTATGACCTAGTTTTTTCCTCATTTTATGATTTTGCATTTATGATTTTAAATGCAAGTCAGTGTTTGCCTTTTTACTATTCCTTTGCGCTTCTATTTCAATAATTTATTTATCTAAATAGAGTAGGTTTTGAATGGATTGAATGGCTGTTTTCAACTTTTAAAAATATATTTATGACCTGTGGGTGACAAATGAAGTTAAAACTGGTTAGTATAACTTTTTTCCGGATGTTTTGAAACTTCTGTAGAGGGCCAGGTTTCCTTTCATTGGTCCTCAAAACTGGCTTCCTTGAGAGATTAATTTGGTACAAAAAACGAAATGTATTGAGAGGGGACACTTGCTTAAGCAATCATTGTAATGCTAAGATATCCTATCGGATTGCACATAGTAATAGGCAACCTACTTCTAAAGGGGAATTCTTAAATTTATATGACAGGAATTGACTTAAATATGATCTGCAAATCTTAACTTCAAAGCATGGTATTTCAGTAGAAAATATTATATATATGTATATATCAACAGCTCTTTAATTTTTGATAAGTAATTACTGGATAACATGAAATATTAAAACTATTTCTGCCAGAGGTTAAATCTAGGATCCTCTTTTTTCTTTTCCTTTGTGTGTGTCCAAAAACGAACATCCTGATTCAGGACAAATGGAGATTTTGTTTTTAATTACATATTTTTTAAATTTAAGTGATGGAGTTTATGAAGATTTTTTTATTTTTTATTTTTAAATAGTAACATGTAAAGTTGCAGAGATCTGAAACAGGGAAGTTTTAAAGATACAGGTATATCTACTTCAACTTTCTCTTAAGTTCTGATTGTCATCTGGATTCTGCTGTCGTTAGTGACTAGGGAGGTAAGAGTACAGAACAGAAGTATGAATGCTATTTAATTTCATGTCTACATCCAAGTTTCTGTTTATTATCTAAGTATACACAGGCAAGCTGAAATAAGCTATTTCTGGTTGGCTTTCAACTATCCTAACGCTTTATTTTTAAAACACAGAGTATTTAATCTTTTTGGAAGTTATGAGAGATGCCAGCCACCAAGTAAAAAATATTTGCTGTACCAGCTTCGGGTCACACTGAGCAAGGGGACTTGAGTGTTATTGCTGAAATAGTGTCAAGAAAGCAACTTAGCTACAAATGTTGAAACTAAAATTGCCATAATGAGCATTAGAAAACAGTAAACCTCTATGGGAAAAGCAAAAATTTTTTAAATCTGCACATAACTTTTAGTCATGGGAACTTGGGATTCTCAAAAATGTGAAGAGCTGCTGCCAATGTTCAGAGAGTTTGTGAGAATGACTGGGCCAAGAAGACTAATTTTCTTTTGTGTTATAATTATTCTGTTTTTTCAATGTCAAGACTTCAAGATCCATCAGTTCATAACATAAAATTTTCTTCTGTAAGCTGATCACAGAAGTGTATTTTAGGCTAACCATCCAGCATATAGAAGATCAGCCCTTCAGATCAGGCATTTGATAGCTATTCTGAGTGCAAAGTTTTTACTTTCAGCTCATTTTTTTGGAAATAAGGGCAGAATTCCTCAGTTCCTCTCTTGCTGCCTTCCTACCCGCACACTCTTCCAGCCTAAACTGAGTCCTGGAAAAATCATGTTTGAAGGCTTTTGTTTAGATTTGATTTATTTATTTTTAAGCAGAATAGTGTTCGTAATATCATCGAGTCACTCTTTGCTTGCGGCTGTAGAAGCTCGATGCCCACTGTTGTCCTTCCGCAGTCTAGGCACAGTAACTGTTCTGAACTGGATGACAAGTGACTTCCTGAACCCAATCCCAAAAATCCAGAGAGAATTTCAGTGCTTTACTGAAACAGTATTTGTGAAAGCTTCTGAAAATGCAGGACAATATTGGTAGATATGAATAGATGGGGGATGTATCTCTTACAGAGTCGTTTGTCTGGCTGGGGTACAGGAATGGGATGGGACAAGCTTTTGGTCATACAAACACATTTTCAGACTTCAGGTTTTCATGTCTAAAAGCTTGTCCGTTTCCATCTGTGATTGAAAAAGGTATCTCCATTCAACTCTTGTCCTGCATCTGTCCTTAGATTGTCATATTGACAGCAACATGCCATCAGAGGAATATAGAGACTTCTTAATCTCCAGACCGACATGAAGCCAGAAACCATGACTAAACTCACTATTTTTTGCTAAGAAATTGAGAATGGTTTCCTGTCAGCCAGCTTGCTTAATCTGAACTCTTGTACGCACTGTATGTCCTGTCTTCTCTCCATCTCAATTACCTGTTAAGCACATGGCTGAACCAGCAAACTGTGCTCTGCCAGATTGTCAGCGATCCAGCAGGGACAGCGCCGAGTGGGGACGAGAGGCAGCTACAGCCTGGTGTTTCATTGGGTGTTAACAGCCCCCTAGGAATGCTTTCAACACTGTCTAAAGTGCAAGATTTACTGCATAGAAATTGATTATTTGATCTGTAAGATACTTGACCCTCAGTAACTTTGTATGTTGGCATTGCCTAACCTCTTGCTAAGCAATTTGAAATAATGAAATCCTGTAACAAGAAATGAATTGCTGCTTTAGTAGTTCTCTTGGTATCATTGATGAATCCAGACTTATTTCCCTGAGTCTTAGTGTTTGTGTTTGTGTCCTCCCGGAATAGGCTACTTACTTAGAAGTTAGCAATCTAGTCTCAGATTCAATTTTTAGGTGTTTATGCACCTGACATACATGGGTAGACTGCCCTGTCTGTGCTATGTAAACTCAGTTTTGTGAACCTGAATGTGATGTATGCACAGCCTTCTGGAAAGCAGCGTTCTGAAAGTTTTAAGCTAGTAAAGTCTATTTCTGTATACTTTTCATGGGCACTGATAAAGCAGTTGTGATGTGGAGGTGGCTTCTCAACTGCTATTTTACCATGGTGTATTTCTAGATGTGCACTCTATTTGGTGGGTGTTCATTTCAAGCACCTAGCTCTTAGAATTCCCTTTTTTTTTTTTTTTTGCTAGTTATAACTTGAGAATTTATTAATTATTTTTTGCACCTACTTAGATTAAAAAGTTCATTTTAAAAAATCATAACTTTTCATTAGTGAGCCAAAGCATTAATAATGTAAGTTTAATAAATTGCAAATGAAATAATTATGCACTTTATCACCAAGTTCCACAAGGTTCGTGTGCTGTTTCATTATGCCATGCCAGAATAAAGTTTTTGTTCAAGCCTGAGTTGTAATATTATCAGCTTTTAATTTGGTCATGGAATGTAGTCTACGTAGATGTGTGCAGGGAAAAGCTTGCTTAATTTGAGCTTGGAAAGTAACACTTATTTTGTTTGGCAGACAAGATCATAGATGAAGGACATCTAACCAAAGTGGAAGAAACAAAGCTTTTGAAAGGTTAGACTTATGGATTTATTTAATTGTTTTTGAAGCATGGTTTTTATGTCACTTCAATGTCTGTTCTGTCTTTAACTAGCAGTTTGAGTGTTGTTGAATATTCATTTAAGAAAAATAAATAACCAATGAAGGGGAGCTATATTGTGTACTGAACTCTGCTCCAAATACTATTGTGGGGTAAAAATGTTTAGGGGAAACTAATTTCTGAAGATTGAGTGCATGAAATTGTAGTCTTCACTGACTTTTTAACCTTAATCTACGTTTTCTAAAAAATAGAAAGTATTTTTTGCAAACTGATTTAAATCTCTCATGCCTGCATAAATTTCAATCATGATTTCATTTTTATTACAGGACATAGAAATAATGTTTAGGCTCACTCAAGTTGTGATAAAGAGTTTTTTAACTTGACTTGTATCTACTTTACACCTTCATAATTGTTTTAAAATAACTATTAACCTTCTAAACTTGCCTTTTCCAAATAAAATATAAATGTGCATCTCTAACTTCTTTCGCTCTTCAGTGTAAAACAAGTGAAACACAAAGATCTAATTAGAAAAGATTTACCTTTTTAAAGACAAATGATCCTTATCTCGCAGTGTCAAAACCAGGAATGTTTCAAAGTGCATAGATCAATATTTCTTGTATGTCTAATAATGTATAATCATTTGGACTTTTAGGCTGATTCCACTTTCATAGCTTTTTATTCATGTCTAGACATATTAACTCACTTCTTTGTCCTCTGTCCTTCTACAAAGAGTTACTATATTGAATAAATATTAACTTGTTTAAAGTTCTGGTATTTTAGAAACTTTTCACCTTATGTCTGAAATTGCACCTTTAATCTGTTGCTGTATGTGAGTAAGTTACAGACAGTGTGCCATATTTGGCAGAAGAATGCATACAATAACTGTAACTTAACGCTTGCATGCCACTTAACTTGCAAAATGACAAGCTATTTTTAGTGCTTGTTAATATACTCAAACTCATCAAGTAAGTATGATGTCAACACATTTTAATATACTTTATCATTTTGGCTATATTTATTCAGCTCCGTTTTATTACGGGAAACAGGAATGAGTGCTGTGAAATAATGTAGTACAAAAATCAGTTTTGTCCTTAAGACTGTGGCTGCAGAATAGTAAGCAGGTTTCTAAACCATTTCTCTTTTTTACTTCTGCTGTTTTGGACGGAGATAGTTGCTATATATATTTATATCTTATATATCTTATATCTTTCCTCTAGTGCCTGATCTTGGTCCCTGTTTCTGGAGGAGGAGGATGGGGGGAGGAGGAATTTGTGTACCTGAGGATGTGTGGGAGGGGAGTATAGGAGGAGGTGGGGAGAGAGAGAATTAATTCAGGGTTTGGAACTTGCACTGCTCCACTTCTCACAGAACAAGGAAGCTGTGTCCATGTATGCCCAGATATGGTAAAGTTAGCTGGATACAAATACTGCTCAGCTTAGCACTTCTGGATTGACATGGGTGAGGTTTTTAGGATATACTTTTCTTAATACCTAAGCTTTACAAAGAATGTATTACTTGTTTTGATAATTATTAGTTTTCGTGACAGTCTTGTGGGCTTGTTTCTATTTGATATCTGTAAAATGCTTTGTATTGTAACATCTTCAGATGTTATTTTTAAGGAGTACTGTTTTTAAACTAGGGAAGTGCTGCTTTCATTTTAGCATAGAGGAACTCCCAAACATCAAGTTCTTTGCTCCAGTCCATATGAGCTTTGAAGTCAGCTGTGAAGTCATATGACTTCTATTTGGAATAGCTGCCAGGTCTGAACCCCTAACGTGCTTTAAGTGTACAGGTGCTTTCCCCTTCTCTCTCCAGTGATTTCAGTTATGTTAAGGTAGGAAGTCTGGCTGTTGATCAGCTTCTTTGTTTGTACTTGCCTTCTTCTGTTTCATTTAAAAGTAGATGTTCTGGCACAAAGAAATAGAAAACTTTTCACGTTAAATGAAGAAAATGGTTTCTTTCTATTAGCCTGTTGTGTTTGTCATCTTGCTAATTTCCCAGTGTAAGTGCGTATCTCTTCATTTTTCCACGTCTCATTTTGGGGGCATTCAGTTCCATTTGTTCTCTTGTTATTTGAAAAAAACAATTTCCCCAAACTTTCTCGTGACTCCTTTGCTTTTTTTTTTTTAAAAACATTTTCATATACTAACCCTGTTGGTATAACACACTTGATTTGTTTACTACTTGACGCTTTTTAATATACAATATCTCTATATGTGAAGAAATTATTTATGTTCACCATGCATTTCTGTATCTATGGTAGAAGAGAAGTCTGTATAATGGGAATGTTGCAATGATGCCTTTGTACATATGTTTGTATCTCTCTCTACCTGGAACTTGATACTCAGAAGAAACATCTGTTAATCTGTGGTAGGCAGCAATGCTGTCAAACCAAGGCTGGGCATAGTTGGCCAAGGAAGACTTCCTTATGTTTAACCTCACGTGCATGTTGGTGTCAAGGTTCAGATGTGCCAAACTTTCTGGGTTTTGGTCGAGATGCTGTGCCTTTGTGTAATGGTTCCATCATAGCTAAATTGAAATAGTTATTAAAAAAGAAAAAAAGGTTCACAAAGTCTTTAGACTAGGAGTCAGGGCTACTGCTGTGTCCCCTCATCTTTTGAAAATGTCTGCTTCCCATTAAAAATTTAGAACTGGTGAAAAAAACGCGTGAGGCTTCATTAAATTGCATGCAATAATGTGGTGCAGTTATTTCATGAAGGGTTTTTTTCATGGAAAAGAGACAGCGACTGCCTTGTAGTAATACAATCTGAACTGAAAATTCTTTCTAGAAACTAGTTAGTGTATTAATTTATATTACTAGGATTCTTGATTGGTTAACACTACGCTTTTTTTTACAGTACAGTATATACAAGACTTGCTGATATTTTTTTGTCCAAAATGCTGAAGCACAGTTTTATTCTTAATAGCAGATTCATTCTGACTTGTAACAATATCTGCATTGTTCTACTTTTCTTCTCTTATTTGTTCCCTGATTGAATAAAACAATCAGCTGTTGCACAGAGTTCCAACTGGCAAGAATACAGCTTTAAACAAAAGTTCAAGCTGTGCATGAGGCTCTTACATCCCCTATCAGATGCTAGGCTAGATAATGACTTCAGTAATACTGAATCTATTTGAGCCCAAATTTATGAAGAAATAAGCAAACACCAGGTTTTTAAGTGTTTTCAGCTCTTTTTTTCTCGTCACATTTACCAGTCATTAGATATATATGTGTATAGAAAAAAATATTATTAAGAAACTGAACAAAGTATTTACTTACTGTAGCTGATTCTCCTTGTCTCTTACAGAGAATCAGGCAAGAGTGAAAGAATCTGATTTGTCAGACACTCTCAGTCCAAGCAAGGAAAAAAGCAGCGACGACACTACAGGTAAAGATTTAACTGAAGTTTCTGTAAGATCTAATTAGTTTGAATTAAATCACTTAATCATGAGAATTTTCTAAAAGGGCAGAGAATACTTGTGTGTTATGTATTATAGGTTGGTTATAAGTTTAAGCAGTACTGTTTACTTTGCAACTTCATAAATAACTGTTGTAATGTGGGAAGAGCATAAAAGGTTCTTTGCTTAAAGAATGCACATATGAAAACTGTCTGTGGTCTACCTGTTCTCTGAAAGTGTTTTTTTTCTTCCAGATGCCCAAATGGATGACCAAGATCTAAATGAACCTATTGCTAAAGTAGCTCTTCTGAAAGGTAAACAGAAATTTATTTTTGTAATTTTAGACTCGTAATCTGTATTTATAAGTTAGTCTACCAGCTTTCTTTTGTTGATTTTTAATGAAATGTGTATTTGTACAAAAATTCAAGAAATGTTTAAATCATGGTAGTATGGAAGAATTGCACTTAATGATGTTTCCTTTTGGTGATACTAAAGCATGCTGCTGAGTGTTAATATACAAGTGATTTGTGCTTCAAGCCAGTTAGCTGCACTCACCAACACTGTTCTATGAACTTGTAACTTCAAGTACTGTTGAAAAATAGTTTCAACATTTACTCAGTTTAGGGCTAATAACCAAGGAGAAAAGGGATTCCTCCACCACTGACAAATACTTTAAGCATTGTGACATTTTACCTGTGTAGCTCGCATCACTGCCAGAAATGTTTCTGTTGATTTGCATCGGTGGCTTAAACAGAAAAGTCTAAAGTCTTTTTTTATTGTTAACATAGTGAAGATTTGAATTCCTTGCTTTATCAATATTTGGAATGATTGTTGAACCTTAGCTATGATCTTTATAGTTACAAAATCATACTTTTTACTGCTCTGAAGGCATGTACTTTTAGACTTGATTAGCAAGCTATTTACATATTTACATGATCTGAAAAGTGTTGTGGGGTACTGTTACATTTATCATACTGAAAGTTAACTTTTTTGGCCTTATGTGCTGCCACATATTTGCGAATATCTATGAAATGATGTTTACATTGGCATCACAAGTAAAGAAGAATGTGAGAGCTTTTCATGGTTCAGAAAGACAGGAAACCACAATGAAATTTAGGAAATCCGTAAGAGAGCTTTTTTTCTGTAATTGTTTACACTTCTCTGATTTTCTGATAGAAAGAACTTTAAAATATATAGTATATATATTTCCAAACAAGAAACCTAAAACTGAGTATGAGATTTTTCTAGTGATTTTTAGTTCAACAAAACTATTTAAAAAGGAGTGTTCATAACACTGGGCATGTTTCATTTACATTTTGCTCTGCAATGAACAGCAAAAAATAGTAAAGCATATAACCTTACTCATACACTATATTTATAATTCAAAAGCAGTTAGCTAAATGTTTTAAGCAAATACACACTTGGTGGAAAACCAAAGAAAAAATCTGTAGTGGTAGGTCCACTGATAAGTGATTTTTCTACCCTTCTGGATTCTCAAAAAAAAAAAAAAGTGTATGTATATATATTTTTTAAGTCAGTGGAAGTGAATGTTCTCACATAGCCAACTGAAGAGTACTCATAATTGGCTGGATTTCTTAGTTAGCCTCTGCAAGCACATGAAAAGTAGTCCATGCACCCTGAGATTGAAAATCACTGGTGACTGAACTCTCCTTAAATGCAGACAAAGCCTTCCTAGGCTCTGTCAGAAAGGTTGCCTTTTATAGCCCAAGAACGAGATAAGCCTTCTGTGAGCATGCTGTTTCCTGGGTTAGAATGGGCTCGTGTTCTGTCAAGGGTCGGGTGTACTTACACATTTTCTGTCCAGGATGTATTAAAGTGACAGGGACGGGTAACTGAACTCTTAAAAATCTAAAATCAAATTTTTGGTAGTAACATCAAAACAGTCTTGTATTCATGTGGATAATTGTCATTGTTTTATCTGTCTTTACCCAGTTAGAATTAAACCATAACCATCACTGAACTTCAAAGAAGTAGAAAAATACTTATTTGCATAGACAGTTTTGCAATCAAAATGCGTATTATAATTAACAAAAGGAATTAGAAAAGCTTCTTCTCTTTAAGCTATTTATGGGCATATTCCTCTTTTGTTCTCCTGAAACCATTTTAAAATATCTGTACAATGAATCATTTGCCTTTGTAATTTTTATGAAGAGTCTGTAAGCTCACAGTTTTGTTTGCAATTATGTCGGAGAGCCATTGCATACTCTTGACTTTGCCCTTAAAAGGATCTTATTTGCCACAGAAAGACTTTCAGTTGGGTTTGTTATGCGTTCATGTAATTAAGGAAGAGTGAGAACATTTCTGATCTGGCAGCTGCTGGAATGCGGAAATGGCTGTTGGAAAAGGCACTGCTCCTTTTTGTTTAACTGTCGGAACTTAGAAAACAAATGTACGGAACAAGAAAATGATGAGATGTTAAATTGTTGTAGTTTCCTCCAAGTGTATTTTCCATCAATAACTTCTGAGAGCATTCAGGGATCTGCTTCAGCTTTCTGCAAGTCAGAATCTGGCAAAGATGGGGAAGGGGAAGACCTTGCACAGATTAGTAGAGCTAAACATCTTTATTAGCCATTTATAAGAATTCCTTAGATGTTACTATGTAAGTGGCTTCTCTAACAAAGAAAAATTGCAAAGTGAAAAACAGGTACAGGTTAAACAGATGGAAAGTAATAAATGCCGTCAGAAGTTCAGTGATCTTGTTCTTGTCAACTTCCTCACATTTTTTTTTGTAACTCCGGGACTGATCTGTGGAATCGAAGTAAAAAGTGTGTTTGGTTGAGGGTTTGCTGAATAGTGTTAGTTTAGATAATAAATATCAAGAATCAGTAGTGGTCTCGTTCAGGAAGTTTGGGAACCATTTTTTTAACGTTGCAATAGCCAAATACTTATTTTATGTGCATTATAAGGTTTCTGTGAATCTTATAAAGCTGAAGAAAACTCAGATTTATAATCATCTGTCTGACTTCACTGAATACTCTGAAAAGTACTCATCTGAACAAGCTCAGAAATCCTGCAAAATTCTGAAAGGGAGCTTCTGTGAGACTTGGAGAAATAGCAGCCTACTAAGGTAGTTGCTTCCACAGACCAGACATACAGATAAGGGATGAATTAAGACAGCAGCCTACGTATCCTTCTATCATCTCTGTTATCAGAACAAAAATATAAAGGCAAACATGTAAGCAAAGCTCTGCTAATGTCCTCAAGCTGATTTAATCATGTTGATTAAATCTCAACTTTGTCTTTTTTATTAAAGCTTTACAGATCCTGAAATTGCAAAATCCAAGTTTATGGATGGAAAATACTCCTTCACACACTATAATATTTTTTAATGAATTGGAAAAGTTAAATTTTCCTTAGAACTGACCCATGAGTTAGACTTCTTTTCTAGAGCCAGATTGAAGGAGAAGCAGATTTCATGTGCATTGGAAATGATTTGTTATGTATCACACTGTCTTGTTTTATTGTTAATGACTTCAAATCTACCAGTAGAGTGAAAAACAAAAGAAATGTTAAAGGAAATCTTATTGTGTTGGGGTGTGGGGCAGAAAGTGGAGTTTATTAAGAATCTTTTATAACACAGCAAACAATCTGATCACAGATGAAAACTTCCCATGAACTAGAATAAATGGATGAAAGTTTTCAAACAGTTGTATTTTGACTTATTTTTTTTTGTACCTCATAATTAATTATAAAACTCTTTAGACTTCTGAGGACAGTTAGTCCAATGTTAAATACTTCTGGAAATTGCTCAGATACTTGTTTAATTGCAGCTTTTTTGCATTGGTTCTCTAACCAGTTTTCATGACATCAATTTGCTTCTAGAAAGAATTATTTCAGAGCCCAGTAATAGTTTTTACTAGTTTCAAATAGAGCAATGCTACTACAGAATTTGTTTCACATCTTAGAGTTATCACAAACATGTTTGTCAGTTTGTAGAAGACCAAAAACCTGTTAGGTTTTTCATAGGCATACTTGTGTTTCTTGGCTTTTGATTTAAAAGCATATCACGTGTATGGAAATTTCCCTTCTGCATTTGAGTAGAAAAGAGTTTTTACCTTGACACACATTGCGTTTCTGCAAAATTGATTATGCTGTCCTCTAACTTAAGTTTCTTGTCTCCCTTGAAGCAGTGTTATCTTTCATGATGTATGCTTTCATTGATTCGAAAATGCTGCCCACCAGAAAGTTCATTTAGGGTGTCTATTGTTTGATTTGGGACACTGCTTCTTTATCGAGAACATAATTTGCCAACTTCCTCATCCGTTTCTGCTGAACTGTCTCATTAAGGAGGACTGAAAGTCTAATTGCTCCAAATCTTCATCCATGAGAAGCTAAGAACAAAACATCTCCAGTAAAGAGCAACTAGGATTTGGAACTCTTAATAAATTTATAAAAGAGTATTTGGATGAAATATTTAGTCCTCTTTGTTCTTTCTGCTCTCATAATTTTGTTCTGAGAAGGTCTAAAAGCACATGTGCACCCATATCTCTATTCTGTGATCACACCAATTCATTACTGTGAGAATAGGAAAGACACAGCCTCTGTGTGTCGGTATGCTGCTGGACTGGGCTGGGATGTGCTTGGAGGAGCAGGAGTGTGGGAGGGTGGGCTCGGGCGATAGGGGATGCAGGATCATTACTGCTAAGTCTGTGCTGGGAAAGAAGGTTACAGTAGCTTCCTTTTAACAATAGAACAGTTGTAAATGCAGTCAAGGATTGTCTTATGCTTATCATTTCTTCATTTATGTCAATATAGAAATTCGTGCCAATCTATACAGTATTTTTAAAAATTATTGAATTTGTATATGTTTTTTTTACTGCGTGTTACGTAGAATGAATGTTTTAAACTATGCATATGTTTACCTCCTTTTAAAAGTGTATTAATATTTTTGCTAATATTTACCTAATCCAATTTTGTGTTTACTTTAACTAACTCTGGATGATGTGAATAAAAAGGTACTTGACATCACATGACAGTGCAAATTAAGCTGTTGTACAAATTTATGCTTTAAAGAAAATGTTCTTTTATCAGATGAATTGCAGGGTGCACAATCAGAGACTGAGGCTAAGCAAGAAATTCAGCAACTACACAAGGAGCTGATTGAAGCCCAAGAGCTAGCTAGAACAAGTAAACAAAAATGCTTTGAACTTCAAGGTGAGACTCAGATCAACTTGATTGTGTAGGGTATCCATTAAAATCGTATTTAATAGGTAACCTTAAAAGGGGTCCAGCTTTGTTGACTGTTGGATAGATTTGTTTCCTAGCATCTCCTGCACAGAATGTCAGAAACCTTTTTTCTAAATATGCATAGGCAGTCAGATTGAGCCCCTGACTTTTTTGGTTCAAGATTGACCATTTTTTCATAGCATTGAATACATACGTGAACTCTATATATTTCATTCATAGAAGATATATTTATATAGACATATTGGTTCATCCTTATTTCAGTCAGATAAGGCACATATTTTAATGCATTCAGTGGTAGCTCTTCAGATTGTCCTTCCAAACTTGGAGCTGTATCAATGCCATCAGCAAGACCATGGGTTGTTTTTTGCAGGAAATAACATAGTCCAGTTTAACTGACATTGTTCAGTGGTCATGCTGAAGCTTTTTCTTCCCACCCCTACACTAGTTTGCATTTAGCACACATGGAGTTTTTGGATCAGGCAACTGATTGCATTAATTTCAAATTAATTGCAATACTACCACAATAATATTTACTATTAACTTTTTATTAAACTACTTACAGTTACTAGCTTTGATAACTTACTGGAATAATCTGATTGTTTTAATCTTTAATTAAGGGGAAGTCATGACTAAAACTAATTACAAAACTGAAATACTTCTTACTAACAAACATTTGGGCACATTTTCGCTTTCATTTGTAGCACTTTTGGAAGAAGAGAGAAGAGCATATCGAGTGCAAGTTGAAGAATCTAACAAGCAAATAAATGTTCTGCAAGGTATGAAATATTTTTTTCACCTCAGTCTCCTAGGGGAAATATATAGCTTTAGCTGTTTCCATGGCATCATAAGGACTTATGAAGGAAAATGTTAAGTGAGTGTATGTTTTAAATATGATTTGTTTCACAGTATCTCTGAATTCTGTTGTTAAATGTTTCCTATTCTATGCTTTAATCATAACTTCAAAAAATGCAAGTAATCTGTAACATGTTCCTCTTCTCCTTTCTCTTCCTTCAGTCTTTCTTAGCTTTGAATGATCCAGAGATTCTTACTGTGGCTGTTTTACCTTTTACTTAAACACTGAGGTTTATTTTTTGTACTTCTCAGTCTCTACACTTTAGTAGTAAAATCCTCTTAAATAATTTTTAATCGCTCTAGATCTGCACTCAAGTTGGATGCATTAAAATGTCTTCAACAGAGGCACAGTCTGTGCTTTATGAAAAATGTAATGACCGCGCTCATGCTCCTTTCAGCCCAAAATGATTATAGAAGAATAGAGTCCCATGATTTGTATAACTCTTACTTGTGACACAGAAGCTACTGTTTTCAAGTTAGTGAAGTTCTTATTGACTAAAAGCAGAAAGGTTTTGGAAGAGCAGTGTAACTAGCCAAGTTTGGTTTTCTACGGGTTTGTTGAATACCTCAGCCCCTCCAACATCTTTCTGTTGCCTTGGTGTTATAAGAGATCTGTGCTTGCTCAAGCTTTGACAAGAGTCGCTCGTCCAGTATGTTGGGCTAGTGGTAGCATGTCACATAAGCATTTTCGGCATTACACGCCTGCTTGTCAGCCTGTACGTGCGAGTGAGTTCCGTGGTTGAGAGGCTATCTTGCCTTAGAATTGATAAGGGTTATTTTAGGACTCCTCCTTAAAATAAATGTTGGTATGAACACCATCATTATGAACTCAGCCATTGAGAAGGAATGTGTAGGAACTTCATACCTTGAGATTGTTGTCAGTATATTGCTGGGTTTGGACATGAAATGGTTAGAAAACATGAACAGACAGGTAAATGGACTGACAACACAAGTCTTATTGTCTTAGGAAATTAAATTAGCTTTAGAAAATTATTTTTTATGGGTAGTAGTTTGTTGTAGAATGTGATACTTTTCATATACCAGTTACACTTACTGAGAAGCTTATGACTGCACCGTTTTATAGGAATGTCAGCAAAGCGTATTTAGGTCTTCTGCTGTTATTCCTCTAAGAAAGAGGAGCCTTCTTCAGAATAAGAGCAATTAAATTTTAACTTCTGTCCTGCTAATAATGAAAATTCTCTAAGAAAAAATGCTGTAGAAAAAGTTAGAAATTAGGGTTTGATAGCCATTTCTGTGCAGGAGGAAGAAATTTCACATCTTTTCTCAAAAAAAAAAAAAAAAAAAAGTAGAAGCTTGACAGAGCCATGCTTAATTGCAAGGTGGTTCTTTGTGTCTTGATCACTTCCCAAGTGAGTTCTTGCTAATGATTCTTGCTCCTATCACTCCATTGTGGTTTAAAACATTCTGATATTAGTTGTCTACTTGCTGCTTTCCAAACTTTTAGGGTGTGACATATCTCACAACTTGGGAAAAGTTGTCATGATGTCACTGTTCTATCTTGGCAGCCTCTGTGAACTGTAGCGGAGAAAAAAAACAAAAAACTGACAATTTCATAGAGTAACATTTGTTCAAATATTTTAATGGAATCAGTGTTTTAGGCCAGCCCGTGCTACATGGCTCATGTGTTTGACATAGAAAGGGTGCTGTAGAAACAACTGAAATCCTGTCTGTATGTGTGAAGTTCTTTACATGCACAAATAGGTAAAACAAGGAAATTCTTGTATCTCAAGTAACTAGTCATTGCCCATTTAAAAAAAAAAAAAGGCAAAACATTCAGTTTGAGTGAGGTAATGGCTTACATAAATAAGAGTTGTAATGGAAGCTTTTTTTCTAATTGCCATTTCAAATTATATCCCGTGCCTCAGAAAACATTTCAGTATTCTTTGTAGTAAATCCTCTGTGTAAGTTATTTCTACAACTCCACCAAATTTTAGAAACACCTGTATATTTGGGATTTTCATTCATACCATGCTTGTTTTCATGCCCAAGTATTTAAAGGGAGAGCTGCTCATAAATAATGCAGACAAAAAAAAAAAAAAAATTCTTGGAAAAGCTGCCTGAAAAGCAGCAATTTAGTTGGAATTTATTAAAAAAAATATATATTGAAAAATCACTGCTTTGCTCACTAGATGTTAACAAGTCTTAATTCTTGGTGTTTTAGAAACATGTACTTTTAGTGTAAGGGTTTGGTAGGTTCAAAGCTTCAAACACAACAATACACAGGTGATTGTTAATGTTCTGTTGTCTTACTCTGTTAGATTGTTCTCATCTACTAGTTTTATTAGTATTCTGTTAGTATAATCCTGTGGAAATTGTTTCCAAATGAATGAGATGGAAGCCTTTTGTTGCTTGCATATTCAAAAATCCATCATGCTACAGATGTTTTTGTTATGGAACAGGTATTCTGCTTCATCTTACACAGGATTGCTGTGAAACCTCATTTAGTATAGTCTATAATAGCTATTACATATTATAACACGTAGGAGCTATCATGGTCTTTACCATGCTATATTTTCCTTCCAAAGTGCAGAACTGGGTTGTTCATAGATTCCTTAGCTCATCTAATGAGCTAAATGTCTTGTTGGAGCCTGTTTAGAAGAGAAAACAAAAATACGTTTCTTCTTTACTGTTATAAGTTGCCCCCTTAATTAATTTTCAGAGAGCATTGCATTAATAATAGAAAGGAATTTATTGAGTAAGCAACAGCAAGCAAAACAGCGCTGGGTGGCCGGGGAGTCTCGGCTCCGCCAACGGCGCGCACCTCACCCCCCCCAGGGTCCCTTTTTATATCTTGGTGATTTCAGGATTACGCAGCACATCTTGGTGTACTCTGCGACTGCGCGCACTGTTGCTAGGGGGTCGTCTCTGTCCCTCTGGTGGTCGTGAAGATGAAGGCCGTAGTCTTCCTCGGCGTTGTGGTTCAACTTCTTTCTTTATTTGGTCATGTTGGCCCAGCGTGAGACAGGGAGGTAGGGTGTTGATACACTAGTTTAACAACTTATCAGGAGATGGTTACATGAACTTTGCAGCTGTGTTTTTTGAACAAAAGAGGCTACTGAGATACAGAAGGAGAGAAGGGGAGAGGGTTCTCTTTTTTGTTACATTAAGCAAAGGAATTTTCATAGTGTCTAGCCAAGTATTATACAGCTCCTTACTTCAGCAGGGAGTTTTCACAACTCCCGTTCCTCAAACAGAACTCCTTGTTTTTACAAAAGACAATGAACAAACATTTATTGTGTATTACATTTACTGTATGTCAACTAGCAGCAAAGTTTCTAGATTGTAGCTGCGTATGAATTGTGCCTATATCTCTGTATATGAAAGGTCTGAAAGACATCAAGCATCATGGATAGTTGTCATGAAAGCCCCTCCTGAGCAGTTTTTATGCTGTATCAGGTTACAGCATGACTCGCTCACATTCTCGGTGTCATCTTCTGTAATGGATTGAGAGAACAAAAATAAATACAAGAAACCTATGAAGGTTACTTAGCCTCAGTTATCTTCCCCGTGCTTTCCACTGTCCTTGCTTGCCCTTTGCTTCAGAAAAAGTAACATACTACTGTAAGTGCGTAATTCTAAACCTCTACAGTATTTGCTACTAGGGTTTCGAGTGATCTAAAGAACTTTGTTCTTTTCTCAGAGCATTTCTTCATTAATTAGGTAATCGCTTTTTCTCTTCGAAAATCAGTGAAATACGTATGAGCTTTGATTTGTTTACTTTAAAAGGCAAAACAAAAACACTGGGCAAATTATACATTTTGCTTCTATCAGCCAGGGTTTTAACTATGATTTTGTTCTTCTTCCTTTCATACTTTCCTTTCCTCTGTACTGTATTTTTTGTAAGTATTTGCACAGGATTCTATTTGCACGCATATTTATGAAAAATAATTGTGCTCAGAGAAGGGAAGTTAAGTAATGAAACAGTTTTGAATAGGAATAATTTATAAGGTTTGCTTCATGCAGTTGTGTAATTCTGAATAACCCAGCACTTATGTGACTGCTGCACATTTGCAGTTTGCAGCCACTCATGAGCACTAAAGGTCTTCTTACAGTTCAGTATGTTAGGTGCAGCTATTGCTTTTGATCTAAAATTCGTCTTGAGCCTTGCAAAACACTTTTTGCAAAGAAGTAATTTTTAATTTACAAGTTGAGAGAATGGAGTAGAAATTAGACTCTGTGCCTCAAGTATTTATAGACATCACAGGTTAACTTTAGCTGTTGAACAGGCAAACACTTACAGTGTAGTATTGCGAATCTGTTTGGCTTGTCACAGAAGCTTTTTTGCTTTCCCTCTTGTGTACTCCTTCTGTAATACTTGTTTTGTTTACAATAAATTTGGATCTAAATCTTGATTTCACTTTTCAGGAGAGTTCCTTTAATGTCCCCCACATAACAACCCCATCTAAGAAAGCTTTGTCAAACCCGTTTTCTTGTTTCTTATCTCTCTGTAATACACAACCCTTCATATGTGCATTTGTTAAGATTAATATGTTGTAAATTGCATTAGTTTTCTTTAGTTCTATTAAACATCAGCAGGTCAAGAACAGGAGGGTTTTGTTTAGATTTTCTGTAAATGAAGTTTATAAAAATTGTAAAAATAATGTATGTTTTCCAGCTCAATTGCGGAGGTTACAAGAAGATATTGAGAATCTTCGTGAGGAAAAGGAGAGTGAAGTTTCAAGCACTCGAAATGAGCTAGTCAGTGCTCAGAATGAAATTCTGTCGCTTCAACAAGTAGCCAAAAAGGCAGCATCAGAACGAGATACTGATATTTCTACTCTTCAAGAAGAGCTGCAAACTGTGCGAGCAGAACTTGAGCGGTGGCGGAAAGATGCCTCAGATTATGAAAAAGAAATTGTCAATCTACAAGCCAGTTTTCAGCTCAGGTGTCAGCAGTGTGAGGAGCAGCACAAGGAAGAGGCTACTCGTTTGAAAGGTACTTCTTTAATACAATGTCACGGACCACCACAAACAGCATCCTTCTCAGTCTGACGAATGTCAATAATTCAAATTTTCCTCCCTTCCTCTATTCCTCCTTCCCATCGTGCATGCACACACATGCACTTAATATATTTTTATTTATAGAAGTGTATCAAGGCTTATAGTGTTATAAAACCCTTTCATGTATTTCATTAAATAGTAACTTCCAATTATGCTTAAATTAGCTTAGGTACCCTTTTGATACCAAAAGTAGGCTAAATGCAATGCCGTTTGGAAAACCTGTGTTGTTAGAGGGATTGATACTGCTACAGGTTTTCAAAAGGACTTGCATAAAATCTGTATAGTTAAATCTGTATAACTAAAGCCTGTAAAGGGGTAGCTTCTGAACTTTTAATTTTTAGAGCAAAGGTTCACTTGAGAAACCTGCATTTACTATGGGTTAATAAAACAGATGATATTGTGTTCATTTATGTTAAAATACATTGTTTTATTAAATGTAGTTTTATTTTGGAAGCATGATGTGCAGAGATACACAAATACTTGGTGCTGAGCCAGATCTGCTAGGCTCATTCATTTGCTCTTCACTTTAGCTGCAATACATGCAGGTAAATACACCGGAGCCACTGCTCCAGTTCTATAGCTTCAGGTCTTGGAGAATCTGCTAACAGAGGTTAAAAGCTCATGCTAAAATATTGTACATGCCACAGCGAAGCTGGCATCTGTAAAATATGCTTTGAATTCTGAATTAGTTAATCCTAGAAGTCATCAGAAAAGCCTTTTTCCAGCTGAGGCTCCAGTCTCCATCATTATATTATGAAGACAAGTAATATTTGATAAAAACCAATTTTACCATAGACTGATTTATTTCAAAGGTCTCACTTAAACCATTTAGTTATTTCTTTAAACACTGTTAGTTTTAGCAGAGGCACGGTTATCTAGTGATTTTAGTTGTTTGTTACTTTCAATTTGTTTCTGATTTTCTGCCAAGAAGTGAAATCAAACATGATTCAAATATGCATTTTTGTCACTGTTTTTAAAATACTCAAGTAGACATATAAGCAAGACAATTTACTACTACTTTGTGCCTTAAAGAAGCTCACATTAAGAAAGAACACTAGCTTGTGTACGGCTCACAAGCTCTTCCTAACAGTAAAGATACTGTGACATGTTTTATAAATGACTGCAATAGAAATCATCTAACATGATTATAATAATTTAAGCTTTACAGCTAACACCAGCTTTTCCACCATTTATTAGCTGGTGCTGCTTGAAGCATTCCTGAAATTATTGTACTCAAAATTTAATTTTATTAATTGCAGGTGAACTTGAAAAGTTGAAGGCAGAATGGAATGCTCTGGAAGCTGAATGCGTTACACTAAGAAAGGAAAATACTTCGCTTACATCTGAACTTCAGCGACAAGAGAAGGAGCTTTCTAGGTAAGGGCACGGTGGATTTGTCTGGGAAGATATTAAAGAAACTTTAGAGGTTGATTATTCTTATTTCTTCCCTAAACTGGTACTAAATGTCTGATAGTGTTTGTGATTAAATGAACTGAAATTTTGTTTGTATCTTAGTTTTTGGCAGAACACAATTTTGCCATTTATTTCTCCTCAAACGCTTCTGTATTACTTCTCAGATATGTTACATGGTATCCTGATATATTTTGCTATTAGCTTATACCACTGGAGTAAGCAAAAGAAACATGTACAAATAAATGAAAAACTACTAAAAACCTTGGACAGACTTCTTCAAATTACAAGTTTGTTTCACAATGCTTTCATGTATATAATATATAATTAGTGACCAATAAAAAAAAGTAAAATAAGAAACTAAAAAAAAAAAAGATAATCTGAGTTATAGTATAGATTATAATTACATTAAACACGATAATGTGTGCACATGCATTTAAAAGCAAGTCTGTGGGCAATCTTATATCAGTACTTTGCATTAGGGAGTCAAAGTTGATCTGCACTTCTATGATCATCTCTAGCTGATTTTTCTGTATTAAATAGAGATGTGAAGCTTTTGAAAGTGAAAACTGCTTTAAAAATCTTTTGTTTAAATTTAAAATATGTAAAGAAACAATTGGATTTTATTTTTCAGCTCTCAGAAGCAGAGTTTAGCGCTAACCAGCAATATAAGTGTTCTTGAAATGTCTCGAAAGGAACTTGAAAATCAGATGGGATCTTTGAGAGAAAAACATCAACAGGATGCAGCTAGTCTAAAAAGCCAACTCAGTGAAGCTGAGAGTCAAGCAAAGGATGTTCAGAAAGAGGTAACATGAAACACTTTCTGTTTCGAAGGAATACAATGCCCAGTGACTTTCCTTTTATTTCATTATAAAAGCTTAAATGTCAAAAATTCAAAATTTTTAGTAGCAGAACTTTTATTTCAAGTACGTTTATGTTAGGTAACAATATATACATCAGTGGTTAAATCTCAAAGGGAAGATTTCAAATAACATGACTTACGTGTGTTTTGGGAACTTCCTGAAATTTGCTTCCATTCATTACCTTAGTAAGAGTGTTAGCTTACTTATAAGCTGTTAAAGACAGGTGACCCTTTTTCAGAAATGTTCCTGATCATCATGGTGTAGGGTCTGGTTAGCCATTATGAGTCAAAATATATTCTTCTTACTCAGTATGATTTAAGCTTTATTTGAGAGCAGGACTACACATTCTTTAGAGATGGTTTCCTTTCATCATAATGGATCACTAGGCTTCTAAAGATGATTAGCAAGTGCGTAAGGAAAAGCTAGCATTTTGAGCCTAGCTACTAATGATCATGTCTGGAAGAAGGCCATAGTCTCCATTAGTTACTTGCTTTTTTCAGTAAAGGAATTTTGAGAGAAGTTTTCCCCTGTCACTGCTATTAGTTTGTGTACTGCAGTGTTTTTCTTTGCTTTGTCATTAGGTCATCCGTGTCACATTCCTTACTGTTTTTCTAATTTGAACAGTCTTGCTAATCTGCTTGCAGTCAGATATGTTTGTAAAGTTGCTTACTCTTTTAAGTTTGTGGTAAATGCCACGGACAAATTGTGGCACAAACAAATTGAAGGTCATTGATTCTGTCCTCACTAACCACTGTTGTGACAACTGCTGGAAAACTTGTCATCTGTAGAGAAAATTGAATGCAAGCTTGAAAAAGGAGAAACTGTCCATATGGTAGAAAGATGAGATGCACTGTCCCAGTATTTATACTTAATCCACAGTAAGAATTGTGGCATGTTATTTTTTTTAAATGCCTTTCCTTCTTTTACGATTGATTTTGATGCATGGGAAAAAGGTTTTATTTGCTTCATACAAAATGTTGATTTTTGCACCTATTTGACTGATCAGCATAGTTGTAAGACCACTATTTAAATGTAGAGGACTCCTTATTCCACTTTATTTTTTGTCTTTTTAGTTTTTACAGTTCTGTCCCATATGATAATGAGTAATTGTTTGATATGAGAGATGAGTTAACTTACTTCATATTTCCTTGCTTTGTAAATCATTGCAAGAGTTGATAAGCTGTGTGTTAGCCTTGTGTGCTGAGGTTAGCATGAAGATGTGTTAATTGTGAACCGTTCATATTAATTTCTTAATGCACTGTTGTACATGATTATTATTGATAGATGTCATGTTACTGTATTGTTACTGGCACAGCACATAAATTGATCACTCTGGGAAAGACTCAGCACAGTTGAGTATGAGCAAGCTTTCTGGAAAAGGACACAGTACTCAATGCACTGATTTTTTCAGAATATGTGTGACAGTCTACTAAAATGTAGTTTACTTCTAGAATGTCCCAGGTAAAAAGAAACACATTGTTTTCTATTCAGTGATTTGCTGTCTGTGAATATATTCCTGAGAAATTCCAGGTCAGGTAAAATTTGTCTGCAAAAGAATACTCTAAAGTAATATAAAAATGTTACTGATTACTTAATGAGAGATAATGGTGAGCTCATTCTGAACTACTGCACTTGTATGTTCTTAATGGCATACTGCATGGGCAGGTGCTACATTTGTCTGAAGTGGAAAATTTCTGAAGCTCTGGACATTTAAAATGTTTGAAACCTAATATAGAAATGTAGCTAGTTAATCTGTGTTTCTAGACTTAATTTGTTTGTAGAATTCTATCTACTTGTGATTTTTTGTTAGTAATGCAACCTCTAATAATCTTTCTGATTCTGAAGCAAGTAGTGATGTCGTTGCTGCCTGTTTAGTCATTAGGTGAGTTGTGTTTTCTCCTCCAGTAGTAGGGGAGATCATTACATATCTAACATGAAATTTATTATACTTCTTTGTATCATTCTAGACACAATCACAGAATTTATGCTTAATTATCCTGAAAAAGCATGCAAGGAATCCTAGTTTTTCAAAGTCAGAAACAAAATCTTCATTTAACAAAAAGAAAATCTAAACCAATATTTTTGTCTTGCTTTTATTAAGAGAGAATGTTCTGATCCATGGCAAGTTATGCTGGGCAGAAAAGAAAGCTGGGTGCTAAGCAATTGTAAGCAAGCTTTGGGCGGCCAAAAATCTGCAGCCTTTTCTTTCTTTTTGCATTTAGTATGAAAGAACACAGGCAGCGCTCTCAGAACTGAAGGCGAAGTATGAGATGGCTGAGCAAGAAAAACAGTCAATCACAGAAGAGCTTAAACAGTGTAAAGAAAACCTGAAGCTGCTACAAGAAAAAGGAAACAACGTAAGTCTGTCCAAAATATTTGGGGAAGTCTGGTTATGACACCAATGACAATTTTGTTGATTGCGAGAACACCCAAGTGCTGAATAGAAAAAGCTGGCCTTCACAAAAGGTCCATGTACCATATCATATGCAAAATTCCATTCTGGTACTACCTGTGCAAATTTGCAGGTCATTTGCAGGTCAACTGGTACAATTTGCATGCAAGTTAAATTTACAGCTCCATGCCAGTTTTAAGTATGGCCTTAGATATCTGCTGTATTGAAATAATCCATCTTAACTAATCGCAAATGAGAACTAGGCAAAACTTTCTAATTTCAGAGACTGATACATAAGCTCAGAAACCTGGGTCCAAAAGAGTTAAGCAACCTTCTTCAAGATGCTTTTATTGTATTTATTAGTGAATATTACAACATATGTTCCCTCCTCACTCTTGCTTATGCTTCTTAACAGTGGTTATCCCTGGTCAGCTCATGCTTTATACATGTAATTGAACCATCCTTTCTATTCACTAATGGGAATCTTTTCTGCTACAATTAATTTGAGAGGTTCTATCAGCAGAGTAAGTTTACAGCTAGGGACATCTTTTTCTTATACTGAGGCTCCTGAGATCCTCCAAATGTTAACTGTGGTAGATGTGTTAGAGGGTAGTTATAGCCTTTTTAGATACCTTACTGCTCTGAGATGACCAGTTTGTCTTCCTGTACTGCTGCCACGATCTGTGGTGGGTCAACAACTCCTGTAGTGGTCAGTACAAAATAAAAAGTTTACAGGTATTACCCCCTAAAATCAGCTGTGTGCTACATGCCCAGTTGATAATGAATACTCTTACTGTAGCCCACTTACTGAAAGTAAACCTCTGCCATAGTTAAACAAAGATGTAAAGAACTCAAAGCTGTTCTCACGTTATCATGACTATGATGCTCATATCCTCTTGGAACCTGCTTCCTTTTTAGAATTCTTCTGCAATGCCAAAACAATGTTGAGTTACTGAAATAGACAGATGTGCAGAAATAAACAAACCAAAACTTTCTAATAGAAGAGACCATAACAAAATAATTGTGAATGTGAGACTTCCTGTTCTGTTAAAACACTAATCTCAGCCCTAAGGTGATTAGTGAAAAAGAGGGGTAGTTGAAGGACGAAAAATACTGTGAGGGCAATTGGAGTACCAGATGAAAGCTTGTGAGGTAAGGGATTTTTTTTTTTTAGGAAGAATTTGAGGTGGGTGTTTAAATGAAATGGGAACCAGACCAGTTGCCAAAATCTGTTTCCAGAGGAGCTACAAGAGTTGAAGCCCAGAGGTCAGGGTATGAAGAGCATCCAACCATATAAGGACTTGCAGGACAAGCTTGCTTATCCAAGTGAGCATTACTCACAATCAGCAATGTAAAATATGTCTATCTTGTGGATTATTTGAAGCATCATGGATACTGGGCTGAGCTCCAAACTCTAATTTTTCAAGTACTCTTGTCCCCTTTTTGCTGGAAACATTATCCATTACTTCATCCTTCAGGGCAGTGTCCCGCAGAAAGTGACTTCCCGGTGTGGGATTTGTTCCTTTTTGCAGCCCATCTATATCTGAGTTTTTGTATATTCTAATAGAGGATGCATGTTGTTGATGAAGCACCTAGTTAAGTGCTCTTCAGCAATAAGGAGAATTTTTAAGGTATTTCGTTAAGTTCAGGAGGGGGAAAATTTAATCATTTGGAGGCATCCTCATTTAATGTGGTGGATATTTATCATCTGTTTCTCTGGTCAGGATGCCCCAGACTTAAATGTGTGTAGCTTATAAATAAGCAAATCTATAAGATTGTCTGGTGAACTAATAAATGTTAGAAAAGAGAAGGCTTCTCTATTCCATTTAGAATATCATTTAAATACTAAGCTTTTATCCTTTCCCTTTAGGAAGGACAAAGGTTTTTTTACTAAAAAAAAAACAACAAAAAAAAAAACTTTGTGTTCTGAACCGCTTAGCAGTGTGGTGTACTACTTGTGCTTGCATGTTTGTAGTCACTGATTAAGTCACTGATTATTTCCTGATGCGCTTCATACGATGGATTTATTTATGTGAATGGTTTGAGAACATTAGCTGCTCTGGTTGACTTAAACTTTTGGCGCTTTTTTGAACACTGCTGTGATTATTTCTACCAATGTGCTTTCTGTGGGAAGATGGCACTGTGATTTGTGGCACCAATGACCAAAAAAAAAATAATAATACTGCATGGAAATTACTTTAAGAGTTGCACATGATTTGTGAGATTCTATTCTTCAATCACAATGTTTTAGAAGACTTCAAACCTGAATTGATCATGTATTTATTTGGCTGAACAAAATCAGGGTGGCTTCAGCACAAAAAAGTTAAGAAAATACAAAGCATGGTTTGAACTTAACCTCTGTGTGTCTGTGTGTGTGCACAAATATATAGGCTAAGATGCAGAGAAAGCAGATGTCTTCCAAGGACAGCTGAAAAAGAAATTAGGTTCATTTTTGCTTCTAGTTTATCATTTTAAGAATAGAGGCTGTATATCCAACATGTGAAGTAGTTTACAGTTAACTGAAAATAATTGAGAAAATATGCAGAATCTAATAAAACCATCAGCTAAACGAACCCTGAAGTCTTGCTAGCTGGTAGTTTGGCCCAGCTGCATCATTGGTCAATTTTTAGAATTGCATTTGCTCACAAGGCTGATGCCCTGCCAGAGATGCTGATCTTTGTGGTGTCTCTAACAGAAATATACTTCCCTGGTTCATAGTACCTTGGTGCTGAATGTTATAACCTTACAGAAATGTCTGAACTACTGGGTTTGCCTGTGGACATAGTTGTAACTAATTCATTAATAAAGGAAAAAGATTGTTTTTCCTGGAGGCTGGTGATGGAAAATGAGAAAGGTGGAATGAAGAAGCAGCTGAAAAATTTAATATCTGGTATGAGTCTTTCTCCCTTAAGAAATCCGGTTTGGATTTCCTAGCACACAGAAAAGAAAAACAAAAAACAAAACAAAAAACAGAATTAAGATACAGGCAAATTCCAAGTTGAGATGAAGTTTCTTAGAACATTTTCTGCCTCCTTCCCTTTATTTTTAAACATTCCCATTCATTTGAGTAGAATGGTGTACTAACTTTGTATACCAGATTAGATAATGCTGTATTGTGTTAGATGTCTTTAATACATTTCATTTAAAACAAAGCTCACTGACTTATTTTCCCCTCTCTAAATCATCTTTACCTGATTGATTTATAGCACAAAGTGATTTTTAATATCCCTTCCCTTCTTTAGCCTTCCATATTACAACCCGTCCCAGCCGTATTCATCGGCCTAATCCTGGCTTTCCTGTATTGGTGTTACGGCCCATTGTGGTAGCGAAAGGTACAAGCACTACTGTTCAGTCGATGTATGTTTGTCCCTCTCACCTGTATGTGCCATTTCTGTATAAAATAGTGCATGGTGAAATGCTCACAGGTATGCCTTTACCTGAAGCAAACCCTTCATTTAATATTGCCATTCTGTCGATACTGATGAGCTGAGCGATCAACTAATCACTTAACATCTGTCTGATTTCTTTAATTCTAACAATGACTTCCATTCTAACTGGTTCTGAATGTGCCTCTTCTAACTTGGTCTCAGTTTGTCTTTAGCAAATGGGCTACCTTTTGCACAATGCTGTGATGCTAGGGCCTGGAAGAAAGCTTAATTGCTTAATTAACTATGAAAAAATGAAGAGTTTGCCTCTAAATAATAATAAAAATCAACAAGCTTCAGTTCTTATTTACGGACTAAGAAATTCCTCTCTGGCTGTAAACCCTTATTTTTCTCACTATGGCTGTGAAGAAGATGGGATAAAACCAAGATGCGAAATAGGTGGTTGGTTTGTATTCTGACCTCTCAGCTTGCATTTCCTCTAACGTCTCCCATTGTGTCCTTCTCTTATTGTCGTCATAAAATGTCGTGACAGTCCGTTGGAAATGATTTTGGTAGGATCTGTTATGAACTAACTTCAGAGATCCAGGTTTGAACCTTCAAAAGCCAAGTTAAAGATGTCAGTACTACATACACCTGGCTAGCGATTGCTTCGCACAAGTGATGTTTTAAACATCGTAAGCCCTCACTTGTTTAATAGCAGATTTCTTTGAGGTGTGTACGGAAGCTGAAAATACAGAACTGGTTCTCCTGGCGACCTTCAGTCATGAAGAGCTGTGGAACTCCCTTGGCCAGAGCAACGTGGGTCACTGTGCCCCTCCAAGTCAGGACTAGCCTGCAGTAGGGCTCGTGGGTAACATTTTAGTGATGCCTATCAACAGGTACTCAGGACTTTCAGGAACCATGGGGTAAACTGATTAGTGTGAATTAGAACAAATATGATATTGATTTTTTTTTTCTTTCCACACAGAGACAATGGCCTTGGATGCCTGTGATGGCAGCTTTGGTTGCTGTAACAGCCGTGGTGCTGTACCCAGGCCTAACCAGAGCTTCTCCATGAGAACTGTTGTTGAATCCATACACCGTCCTCCCTTTAGAAGCTGGCAACATTCATATACTGAGGGAAAACAGATTAATTCTCTTCCTTTTTACCTCTTAATACAGCACAGCTCCGCGTGAGAACAGCAGTAGGGTCATTTGCTTTAAACTGTATAAAATGTATCTGTCTATAAAGAGGGAATAAAATTGTGATTCATCATACTGTGAGCAATATTTTTGCTTACAATTTCATGCAAGTTTTAAATTAGTATGTTGGGATTCTGAATACTATAATGGTGGCCTAAAGTAGGCTTCTTGGTACCAAATTATTTATAATAGCTAGGTTTGCAGACACGTGCTTTAGAATCTGATTGCCAGATTTAAAAGGAAAACAACATTTCTGATTTGGACACCCAAGCCAAGTAACCTTGCAGATACTTGGAAAACGGATGCAGTGTGCTCAGTGCCTTTCAGTATGATTTTTTTTTTTTTAAACTAGTATATCATTTTACTTGCTGTTAGTCACTGAGCTGTTGGGAACAAGACTTAAGAAAACTTCTCTTATCATGCCTTTTGAAGGAAACATATTTTTCTTTGATAAGGATTGCTTTATTAATGACTTTTGGGGAATAAACACAATTCATGTCCAGCCTTAAAGAGATAGAAATACTGATGGTGGAGACCAGCCTAGAGTATTTAGTGTGCGCGTGTGCGAGTATAAGCATGTGTGTGTTCTTGAGTGAGCTAAGGTATTTCTGGGAGCAAACACTTGGTCATTTGATGGACATAGTGCAGTGGTTCAACTCACGTTAACTTTAGTTTGAATGTAATTTATTAAATTTCATATATTTAAAGAGGTGCGTTCTTTAAAAGTATGAATACTTTCTCACATATCACATTGTATCGATTTATTTTTTCAGTCATTTGATACTTTCTGACGAGCTGGATAAACTCTTTAATTAAGCTTTTATTGACATAACTTCATTAAGAGAACTGCAACAGTGTGATTAGCTGAAAAAAATCTAAGATACATAAAATACTACAAAATTGGAATCATATTCCTGGTAATGTATTGTCAGGTGAATATGATTTTAATTTGGTAGTAGAATTTTGTGCATCCTCATCCCATGGCTGTAAGTACGATGCAGTGGTCCCCATTACAAAGTTTATTTTCCTTATCCAAGTACTATGCCTATTGCTTTTTGCTGACTTTTGGTGGGAATCACTGTAGTTAGTGCTGAATTAAATGTAGACTCTAGTTGTCTTGTTCAGCTCAACAGTTCTGTCAAAAAAGTTTATTAAAGACTTAAATAATATGCTAAAGAATGGTAAAGTAAAATGGCTCTGCTAAAGAAAGCTTCAACATAGGGAGATAATCTCAACATTTGAATTGGCTTTAAACAATTCTATGGCAATCAACAGGTAGTTTAAATATTTAAATAGAAATTTAGTATATAATTTACCTTGTAAAGTTTTGAGGGTCATTGTCCTTTAATCAAAGGGTCTATCTTAAGTTACATGGGATTTGCTCTTGGGAGGATTATTAGTTATGGAAATAAGTCCACAAGTGACTTGTAGAAAATATTGTCATTTAGTTCATTCATTTCATCATTTTCAGTTGCAGGAGGCCACCCAACCACAGAACACTCGTATGCCAGTGGTACTCAGTACCTCTTGTATATAGGTTATTGCAAATATTGTTCTGAAATGCTTAACTTCAGAATTACATTTTTTAAAGTAAATAATTGTTTTAAATCTATTTTGTAAAGATATAAAAATACAATAGAATTTCTGGAGTACAGATTAAACTATTTGCACTAACACACGTGATGTGCATGATTTAATAAAATAACTTTACTCTCCCTATGCATGTTTGAGTTGAATCTCATTTGAAAACAATACTCATGCTAAGTTTCTTTTGTGCTAGATGTTGCCACAATTACTAGGCACAATGTCTGCAGCATGTTCAGTAATATCAAAAGACTTTTTTTTTACGTTGTATTTCACATTTGCACTGGTTTAAGTTTTTGTCTAGCTGATCTCTCTCCTGTCTGTGGCTTTCAGAAAGAAAGGGGGGAGGAGAGGGCCATGAAGAACTTGGGAGCATTCTTGCCGGGGAGAAAATAATAAAGTTTTTACAGCTGAAAGCTGGATTGCGCCTGTGGCAGAGGTCATGAGATCGCAGGAGCAGTGGCTGTGGATATGGAAAGCCCTTCTGGGGGAAGGGAGCCTGATGCTGCCTCTGTTCCTTAGCATCCTGCGCTCCCCGGTTGTCCCTTTCAGCCACTTTTCCAACTGATCCTCTTCCCTCCTCCCTGCGGGTAGCATGTAGACATGGTGTGAGGAGGTGGAGCAGAGGCCAGGAGCAGGGGTCCTTCGTGGCTCGCAGCGGGGAAGGGGCTGAGTTTCTTTGGACCCACATTGGTTGGGGGCCCCCACTGCCAACGGGTGCCCCATACTGAGCAGTGCTGCCTGTGACGTAGGCCTGGTTTTGTATTAAAGACAAATGTTGTGTTTTCAGAAATCCTTAGTGCATCAGAGAGCTGAAATTTGAGACCCAACATGGCTGTATTAAAGGAGAAAGATTAATTACGTGCATGTGTGCATATTTACATTGCATACACAGATGCATAGTACACATTGCATGGGTGCTCATGCTTACAATTATACCTGTGTTTCCCTAATACCAGGCCTTTCCCAGGAGTTCTTGACATTTGCATGTTCAAAATGATCAGGAATCAGCACAGTTCACTCCCTGAGAATCCCTGGAGAAGGGCTGGGGAATGGGAAGTTACTGTTCTCCAGCGCGTTGACACTAAAGCAGCAAGTGAAATTTTGTAAGCAGCCTGTCCACAAACCTCTCTTTTCAGCTGGTTTTCATTGTGTTTGTTTATGGTAAATATCTGTGCTCTTTTACATTCAGATTTTTTTTTCTTTTTAGTTTTGAGGCTTGATTAGCTAAGCCTTGGAATTCCTGCAACAAGAGCAGCTTTTCACAAGCATTTAAGATGCTCTGAGTCTACTTGTAAAATGAGTGCTCTGAGCTTGAACCAAACTCTGAGGTTTTAAAAAGGTTTCTCATACTAGGAAAATACATCTGAGAGTTATTTTATTGGTTACTAGTTCAATTTGGAAAATTTATCATAATAAAATGTCCAAATACTTCTTCAGTTTTTCTTTGGTGTCTTGATGAGGCACTTCTTTTTTATTATTATTATTATTTTTAAGTTCTAATAGCAATTCTGCTTTCCTGGGGACTACTACAGCAACAAGCCTTTGATGTACAACATAAAAAATATACTGTAACTTTGCTGTTCCTTACAGCTGAACTAAAGGTGTTCTTCCAGAGTCTTCCTGACCCTTCTTCCAGACTCTCTGGATGTTTTGGTGCTAAATAGAGAGTTGTGAGCCTGCACAATATATTGCAGTTTTCTCATAAAACAGTCTTAGGGAGATTTAGTGTCAAATGACTGATAGCTGAGGCAAAGGTGTATTTTGAGGGTATATTCTTAAATTTTTTTAATTAAGTCTTCTGAAATATATCATCTGTTCAAATTTTCAGTGTGCTTTACATTTTGAATGTCTCCTGCCTTAATCTGTGTGGCTCTGTCGTTTGCAAGAGTCATTTCTTCAGCTCCATTCTTCTCTTTGGTAAATGCCCCGCCGATTCATTCCACCAGCAGCACCCGAGTGCTTTAAAACACCGGGTCACCCCAGCCCCAGGGGCTTTCGGGACGCTGCTGTAGCTCACACTAGCTCTGAAACAAGTTGGCTGGTTCCCCCCTGGGGCCTTTTATCCAGTCTGGTTTCTCATCTGCCCTTAGCAACTTGTCTCAAGAGTTTTCTTTAAAATATCAGGAGGTCATAGGAAAGAATTAGAAGCCATATTTCCTCTCCCCTTCTGTCTTCCAAGCACATACCTCTGAATCTGTTCTAAGGGTGATTTGTTTCTAGCAAACAACTGCTCTGAATTCCTCAGATCCAGGTGCCTTGATGTTCCTAGTCCCTCTGTGCGCTTCTGGACGCACAATTCCTTCCTTCCTTTCTTCTGTCCCTCTGTCCATCTTCCTCTGGCAGGAATCAGGCTGCAGTATGTGTCTCCCAGTCCTTCCTGCTTCCTTGGGTTTTTATTTTGTCCCAGCTAGTTCAAATTAGTAAGCAAAGGTTTGCCCATAGAGCCAAGTTCTTCTGCTTGGAGAGGATTTGCACCCATTACTGCTTTAAGAACTGCTACCATATTATCAGATTTGGCTTGGCAAATTAGAAGTAGAAGGCAAATTAGCAGTTGAAACAAAAGTTTCAGTGGTAATGGCCGTCAGAGACTCAAATTTCCGTTCATTCAAAGGTGGAGGGAATTCACATCTGATTACTGCTCTGGGTATCGCAGTCACAAAACTTCACTGATTTTAATGTCAGAAACATAATGTCAAGTTAAATTACAGCGCATATTTTAGAAAGAAATACTGATTTAAGAACTTCAGGGACAGAGTTGGTCACTTCTCTAGGTAAGTTACTTGAGCAATTACTGTACTCTTGTTATTTAAAAAAAAAAAAAAAGATACGCTTGAATTCATCTGGTTTGGGCTCCCAGCTGTTAATTTCAGTGCATCTCTTTTAGAGGATGTTCTGCTACTGCGAGTGTTGTCCTGATCCAGACATTTGACACACCATGATCAAAATTCTATTTAAATAAATACCTAATTTTCTAAAATACCTTCTAATATTTTTTGACGTGAATGGATTGAGTTTCTTAATTTTTTTCTTCATTCCTCTAATTTTTGTTGTCAGCTTCTAAAATTATTTCTAATTGTGTGAGCGTTATTTTTTTGGAGGGGATGCCAGAACAGAACATGCTCTTACAGTGACAACCTTACTAACACGGGATAAATAATACGTTTTGTATCCCACTCTGATAATCCTGTTTGGCTGCCTACCAGATCCCTAGGACCTTTCTGGTATTCACTGGCTTCTCTAACATTTGGATTTTAATCTTGCGAATCAAATCCGTGCATTCCTCACATCGCTCCAGCCGCGTGGTATCTGACTGCAGGATTGTTCAGCAGTAACTGCTGTAAGTGGGCAGCGCAAGACAGAAAGCTGTTCCCATTACTGTTCACCATCGTCAGTGTTCTTTTGTTTTTGCTATTTTTTGTTTGGTTTGTCTTTTTTTTTTTTTTTCTTTCAGGTTTTAACAGCAATGACTGTTAGAGCTTTTCTACATTATTGATCAAAAAATGTTGAATGGTAGTGAGCCAAATCCCAGATCTCTGCAGGACAGTAGAGAAAACACACAATGATTACTTCACTTTGTTTTTGCAATGTCAGCTGTTTCTTAATCTGGATTATTAGTAGCAGTGCTAGTAGTGTAGCAATCATTTATATTGGGCTGTCAAATGACTTACAGAATTCTTGGTATAGTAACGCCAATAAATTCAGTTTAAGAAAAAAAAAAAAGAATTTTATTTAAAAAAAAAAAAAAGCTTTGATAGTTATAAATTATTCTGTGTTCTGGCATTCTGTACTGATTGCTTCCCATAGATTACTAGGTGATTTGATTAGAGCTGAAGCAGAACCAGTTTTCCCAAGACCATACATCTTTTCCTTTTCTCCTAGCTATATTGCTGCCTCTTACTGCCACTTGCCTCTCAAAGGCATTTCTAATTCCAACTTATTCATGTGACTGTCTAAATTTTTCAACCTACAGAGACTTATTTCCAATGCTGGCAATGTAACACTTCTAATGCACCAAGGATATGTGTGCATGTGTATAACTGCTCTTTGAGATTGCGCTTGCGTGTGGGAAAATAGATCACAATTGCTTGCGTTTAGCAACCATGCAAAGGAAGGTTAGTATGGAGATGTAATTATTTCATTATATGTAATTATTTCATTATGTCAGGAGATATATTGAAAATGCAGGTGTGCCTCTAAGCGTGTTCTCTCTTTACCATATCTGATAAAGGTAAACCAAAGCTTACGTAATTTTCTCAGACCTGATGAGTAACAAGAGAAAAGTGATTGTTCTGTTCCATTGGAATAAAGTTCATCCAAAATCTAGCTTGTATTTGTTTCAGTACCCTCTGATAGAAATTCCTTAGAATCACCACGCACACACACTACGAGTGTTCATGTAAGGGCTTCAGTATGGAATGGAGTTATTTTAATCTTTTCATGCCAAACCATTATGTCAATATTATATTTATATTTCTTGTTAGGAGTTCTTACTCTGGAAAATACTTTATTGGACGTGTCATCAGTTTGATGCAGCAACAATACTTGTCTTGAAGAATATAGTAACTCGTATTTAAAATGTTCCGAATATACAATGTGTCTTTTGGGATGAATAAACAGTAAAATTTACAAGAATAAATCTACAACACAACGGAAAGTTGATTTGTATTGTACATGGTCTTTCATTCAGCCTAACTCCAAATTTCAGCACTCTACATTTTCCCAGTAACATGCAACACTGCTTTATTGCAACAGATGACAACTCATTAATGAAACCAGTTAAAACGTACTTTTAAAATAAATTTGGATTTATTTAACTGTTTGTTTGATACAACTGGGGTTCACAGACGCACAATGTTTCTTCCCCTGCTTCAAGGTAAAGCAGGGCTCCAAGCAGCTCTTGTTTTTGTACACAAACCCGGGGTGAGATGGGCTGGCAGTACTTGGTGCACGGTGCGAGTGTGGCCCTGGTTTGTTCAGTACCATCTTTCACAGATTTGGGGACGTCGTTCGCGGATCATCCTATAAGAAAACTGAAAAGCCTACAGCTGCTAACCTGTGCTGTAAATCCCGTGTACTTGCGGAGCTCTGATCAGTGCTGGTTTGGCAGAAGGGCAGTCACCGAGGGCAGGCAGGTGGCTCTCAGCAAGCTGTGGCCGTGCGAGGGGGAAAGTTTCCTCTGTGTTTGCCGTGTGCTTTGGATCCAGCCCAGGCTGGGGTTTGAGTTAGCATGGTTGCACACCAGGCCCTGACAAGTCCTGGTGTAAAAGCCTAGCTGGCTTCTCTCTATTCTGTTTCGCTTTCTAAAAAGTTAAACTTTGAGTTAACATTAAAAACATTCTACCATGTGCATTAGATGTTGGCTTTTAAAGAAAAAAAGCCTATAGTGTTAAACATATCTAACTGCTTTTTGTGGATGTTGTTGGTACCAGATATTACTGCCAGTAACTTTGTCTTGGGTGCATGTCTCCCATATGCCAGTGCAAAGTACTCATCCTTAGACCAAGGTGACAAACGCTGAATTAGTGTTTGTTTTTTTTCTGAGTAATTCTATGGGTGGAAAATGGTGATAAGTTTTTTTTTTGTTCCTGAGAATTCAGTACCAGTATTACAGGCTGCTTAGGTTTGATATAAAAGTGGTGCTTTTCAGTTGTATGTATCAGTCAAGCTCATTGACAGTTTCTGTGTAGCAGAATGTAACTGTGATCTGACTGTGGCTGGGCATTGTAATAGAAATGTATTGCTCAGGGTTTTTTTTTCCCCATTTCATACTTATTGCAATGGCACATAAGTGAATGCGTAGCCTGCAGCATCTTCATGGTCATTTTCATTACACTTGCTGATATTGGTTGGCCAGGTGTCAGCATCTCTGCTGTCCTGGCCCTACGTGTTGCAACAGTAGTACATCCGTACGTCCTTCCTCTGAAATTTCTCTGAGTTATTAGTCCTCCTTAGTTTCCAAAACGTTCAGATGTAAAGGGCTCTCATCAGTCTGTTTAAACAGCAAATTTCATGTTGCTGCCATCACGCACCTGCTGCATAGTATCATGTTTATGTTCTCAATTATGTCCTAGCCAATAACAGCTGATTAACAATCTCCATTATTATTACTTTACACTGTGTATGCAGTGAGTGAGGGTGTTCCCAAGTACATCCATGCCTCTGTTCAGGAGAATATTTTTAATAGCAAAGCAACAAAAATCTTGACTTAAATGGTGCTTCTCATTTCAAAACTAGAGAGTGGTAAAAATATATATCTATATTTGTCCCAAGCTGATGCTTTCCCGAGTAATTAAGAAACAAATACTGGAATAATTGCATCAGAAGGAGTGCTTTGGGGATGTTTCTTTGGTGGAACTGAATTGCTTTATCAGATGTATTGGATCCGGCATCTGCTCAGGAAGTGGGTCTGGGTCTGCTGGGAGTCTTTGCTACTGAACACCCCTAGGTGGGCAAGGAAATTCATCGATGAAGCATTAATGAAACGTGTATCAGGATGGAAGATGCAGCTGTTGAACTGGCAGAGGTCTTTTTCAAAAGCATCTCAAATCTACTCAGATGCACACAGACTCATACAACAGTGGTGTTAACTTGGTTCATTTAATGTAAATGTTTTCCAGTTCCCATGAAAACCATTTCACTGAAGAATATTAAAGCATGGTAAGTTTTAAAACCTAAAAAATAAAAATAAATAATTGGGTATTTAGTTATATTCTGCAATTATACAGGTCAACTTTTTTTATTTCACGTACTATAAGTGGGATTCAGGTTTAGCTAGATCCTGATGGCTTGGACGTTTCATTGGGAAGCTGCTGTGCTATTTTTTTTAGATTTTGAGCACGTATTGGAGGTCTTCAGTCCTTTTTGGTGTGAATATACTGTGAAAATACCAAGTTATAACTGTTTAAGGGGAAGGTTGCTACCTGTGAGACAAGCATGCAAAGATGTTTGTCTTGATGAGGATTACCGTAGGTAATAGTAATACATGTGCAAGCAGCCGTCTCCAATTGAGGATGAAGAGGCTGATGAGTCATGGTGGAGTCACATCCTGTTAACGCTGGTTACGGACACCACTGCTTCACCCTTCCATGTTCTGACTAATCAAGCTGAGAAAAAAAAAAAAAAAAAAGTGAAAAGAGACCTCTTGGAACATGAAAAATGGAAAGATAATCCTTCTGAGGTCTGTTGCTATCCAAATCTTGTATGCAGGTAGCTCACCTGTTCCAAAGTAGCTCAAGCCAAGCGCAGCATTTAGAGAGGCCTTGGCATCCAGTCCACCACGCTTCCTTGGTGGTGGTTGTTTCTGCCCCTGCTTTGTATCGTGGTTGTCTACAGACACAGGCAGGTATAACGGCCTTGCTTGCATCTGGCTGTTCCGTCTGTGCCTTTCTGTGCAGTCATGCAGGTTAAGATGATTCAATGTGCAAATGTGGGTTCTGCTGGGTTTGGAGAAGTGGGATCTAAGGGTGATTCAGTAAATGTGATTACATCTGTGCCAGCATGTCCAAGTGCCCAGAGTGGGAGAACTGGACCTAAGCAGTGCCTGTGTGATTGCGCTCTGAACATTTACACTCTGGTGGAAAGCACAGTCTTTTGTATCTCAATATCCTGTAGTCTGCCTTCTGGCTCCCAGCTGGAGTCCAAGTTGTGTGTTAAGTGTACATTATGCAACTTTGATTTTACAACTACACACTCTAGCAGCCATCCAAGCTGTGTGTTTACCTGTATTTTTGAATCAAGTGAACAGTAGAGCAGAAACAGCTTGGTGTAGCAGGGCACTGTACAAAACTCACCTGTGCAGTCTGTCTTAGCAGAATGAAGCCTTGTGCTTCTCAGTTCTGTTTTAATGGGATGGATTCAGGCAAAACCAAAAGCATTTCAGGCTTTTAAAATCCACTGTGTTGAAAGGGTGCAGTTGGAGTCGATATTAATGGTAATTGCTGTGTCTGCAGATCTCTGCTGAGGCACCTCTTTGTTTGCAATGGGCAGTGTAAAAAGCATCCCCAAATATATTGGCTGCCTCTCAATAACTCTTACACTGGCATTGAAACTGGAGAGGAATTTTCTTTCGGTGCTGCGCTGCTTATTGCATGCAGAACTGCCTCTCTTCAACAAGGAGCTTCCCGTAACAGCTTGAGATGTCAAAACAGAAATTTCGAATGCATTTTATCCCACATTTCATGATGGAAAACGCTTCCCCTACAGCTTTCTTTAGAGAGTCCTTGCCAGTAGTTCCTGCTTCTGTTTTTCCTCGAGGATGTCAGGCTATTTGTGCTGAAATAAGCTACCTGTCATCTTCAGCATGTAAAAGCCCTCACATCTTTAGCCGTGCTGTCTCTGAGTTCACCGCCCCAGCAGCCCCGTGCTGTTGGTGTGGCTGTTCCCAGGTCACAGCCAGCCGGGGGCCTGGGAAGTGAGGCTTGGCTGGTGTCACTGCACCGGGGCATCAGGGTTTGCTGCAGGAGGAAGCTCCAGGTGTCTTGAGAGGAAGGAAATGGGGGAGAAACTGTGTGTTTGGGGAAAGTTCTCACAGCACGCAGCGGAGAGGCACGGGGGGCATCAGGAAGGGAAGGGTGAGGCGAGCAGGCCTGGGAAGGAGAGGGGTGTTCCTGGGTTTTGCCTCAGAGGAGGGAAGCCCTCTCACGGCCTTGGAGGAGCACCCCCGTGTCCTCGGTCCCTGCCTGCTGTCCTACTGCCTCCCGTGCTGGGTTGCTGCTGCCTGGTGGATGTCCTGCAGCCACCAGTGGCCTGCATGGCGGGGAGCTGGCCTGCCTCGCGCGGGAGGCACGGCTTCGGAGGCAGCAAGGCGATGGTGCTGCTTAGAGCACTGCCTGAGAGAGGGGCCCTGGAGACAGCGTCTGCCTTCCTGCTCCGTGCCTGAACCTTTTGGGAAGCCTGCTCTCCATTCTTGTCCCCTTCCTGGCATTCAGCTGGGGCCCGGGTTTCCTACTGCCCTTGCGAGGTCACCACCACTCAGCGCCGCCTGAGCGGCCGAGGCTGGGCCCTCATGCAGGCTCCTTCTGCTTTACATGGAGCTTTGCTCACAGCATCCAGCAGGTGAACAACAAAGAAGGTAGCGATCCCTTCCAGGGTGTTTAGTTAGAGATTGCCTTCTAGTCACTGTGGTCTCCAGGGAGCAAAGGCTTTTGCCTCGGCCATCGCTGCTGCAGGAAGCGTAGGGTGAGGCGTAGCGGCGGTCACCTCACACAGTGCATGTGCCCTGTGCCCCTGGTATGGGGCCGCCATGGGGACAGGCGTAGCCAGGCTTTGTTGTGGGGCACAATGAAGGGTGACTGCGTCAGGAGAAGGTAAGACCTGTCGACCTCTTCTGCTGTAGGAAATAGGATGTTGGTGTCAGCACGTCCTCTGCGAGGTCTGGGTATTGTGTTGGCTAAATCCTGTGCTCTGAGTGAGACGCGCTCGATGCATCTGTTGCTTCATCCGTTGCTTCATCCGTGGAGCTTTGCTTTGGCCATCCCTATGGTTACGGCAAAGATTCTTTGGAAACTTCAAAGAATCTTTGTTCTAATTTTGTTTTGTCTTGTTCTCTCTTGTATATAATAAGGTACAGAATATATATGGAAAAAATTATCTTCACTTAAATGTTTTCTTCTCTATACACATGCAAATGGAAAATGCCTTATAGAGACTTCCT